TTGCAATGTCACTCCTCAAATTCTCACTTCTACAACTTCCTAACGAACTCATTCTCATAATAAGCCAACACCTAAACGCCAACGACCTGAATTCTCTTTTCAAAACGAACCGTCGTCTAGCAGAAATACTGTCCCTTCAGCTCGAAAATCTCCGGGACAATCTCCTCAGCCAAATAGCAAAACAGGATGGCAAAACTGGACTCTGCTCCGCAGTAGAGCGCAAAAACGAAGCACTCGTAAGGCTCGTATTGAAGAAATTGGCCGTCGATATCAATGAGAAAATTGATATCCGTGGCCGCACAACACTTCACTGGGCCGCAGGGAATGGGCATTCGGAGCTTGTAGAGCTGCTTCTTGAGCGGGGGGCTGATATCGCTGCTCAGACAATCAATGGATCTACGCCGCTCCACAAGGCGGTTTCTAATGATGGAATTGTCAGGATTCTCTTAAATAGGGGAGCTGATATCGCTGCTCGGAGTGGGTGGGGGTCGACACCACTCAATGCGGCGGCTGTGAGTGGGAACGAGCAGACAGTAAAACTGTTGTTGGAGTTTGGGTCAGAGGTGAATACTGAGACTTTGGTTGGGGAAACACCGCTTCATACGGCGGCGTTTCATGGATATGAATCGATAGCAGCGTACGTATATATCTATCATCTGAATTCACAATTAATACACCCACACATCTTGTGACCGGTCATGCTTACCGCAATTGCAGAATATTGCTGGAATATGGCGCCGATATTCATGCTAGGACGCGGGTGGGCCATACACCACTTCACCAGGCTATCCGTGGACATAATCCACGTGAATCTCTGGTGAAGACACTTCTTGAAAAGGGCGTTGACGTTAACGCCCAAACGTATAACGAGGAGACCGCCCTCCACTTCGCAGCAGGTGCCAAGCACGCCGCAATAGTCAAGGCACTCATTGATGCCGGTGCCAATATAACAGCTGTAGACTCACCCGGAAATACCACACTTCATTGGGCAGCCAGGCAAGGTGATATTGAGATTATGAGTATGTTGCTGGAAAACCATATTGACATAAACACCCCCACAATACCCCCGCGCAGAGTGGGACAAAAATCTCAAGAAGCAACATATCAAACAGTACTTCACCTTACAGCTATGAAAGCAGCTCCGTTCCATGACGAACAATGGGTAACCTTCCTCCTTGACCGAGACGCCGACATCACCGCTGTAGACAGTTACGGAATGACGGCACTTCATTACGCATCACAGACGGGGAACAAGGCTATGGTCACCTTACTTCTAGAGAGGGGAGCGAGCGTTTTTGCCCGGTCTAATGATAAACGTACGGCGCTCCATGTCGCAGCAATGGGAGGTCATACCGAAATCGCGAGACTGCTGCTGGATTATGACGCAGATATTGACGCTGTGGAATCAAAGAAGAGGAGGACACCTCTGGCACTGGCCGTAAAGGGTGGTCACGAGGGAACAGTGAGGTTGTTTCTAGAAAGAGGTGCCGATACGGGGCTTTGTGATGTTCGGGGGGTTACGGTGTTGGGTGATGCGGCAACATTGAAATTTGAGAACATTGTCAGGATATTGCTGGAATGGCGCGATGTCTCGCAATACTGACTCGATATCTTATTTGATGGTTATATGAGCGACATGATTTTTCTTGGATAGGTGGCAGGTGGAGAGCTATATACCATGGTGGTTCATGAAGTGAGTATGGGAGTTTCGATTGGGGCTGGGGCGTATGCGCATATTTCTATCTTATTCTTCTTTGGTTGGTTATGTCCTCTGGATAAAGAAAAGCTTTTGTTATTCTATCTTATTTTATTGCTATTACTACTATTACTAGCTAGTCACTCTACCGTCGCTGGAATGGCCGGTCGGGGGTTTTAATTCATAATCTTTTGTCTCTCTTAAGCTTTTCTGAAACCGGCATCTGAGTGCGGTGATCCACGGCCGATCCAAAAAGCAATGATCGATATCAAATGGGGTGGCAGGCACGTCATGTCAGCACGATCTTCAGCTCCTACAATCTAGATCTGACGATCCAACCAACGACGGCACAAAACACATAAACCAGTCAACTCCAAACAGCCTCTATCACAGCCACCAAACTCCAGCGATGCATCACTTTGTGGAGGTGTATTGTCAACATTCATCAGCCACTGACGTACATTGTACCCTTCATATTCCTTTCTGGCTTGATCTCCGTGACATATAATCGTATGGTAACAGTCCGAGGAGCCCGAGGAGCTAGAGAAGCTAGAGAGCTTGAAGGAGTAGTGCCGGTAGCATTTGAGAAAAATGAGGTAAACTATTTCAAGGCTCGCGAAGAGGAATAGAGTGATGATGGTGAAGGAAAGTAATACCAACAAGGGGTGGAATGGGTCGCAGTTTCGGGTGAGCTGGGTAAGAAGGTTCGGAATCATTGTCAGGGTTCGATGAGGATTGCTGTAGAATTTTTTAGTTGAGATGTTTCTTAAGATATATTTCTTTGGGAGTCTTTCTTGCGCAAGGTTCTTTGCGATAAGTGGTTTTGTTTTGTTTAGGGACGTGTCTATAAAGTCAGCAGCAATAAGTGCTTCTAATAGTGTTGTTCTTGAGGTTGGTTATAAATGGGAGCTGAAGATTTCAGGCCGTGTTCTATAAGCACTTGAAAGTTGAGACTTGATGCTAGCGTAGGCTGGGACGTTAATTAATTGAGGGTATCTGTGCAAACTTGAATTGTAATTTTGATTGTGCTTTGTAGAGAGCACAGCTCGCTAGTAGTCGGAAGATGATTGAGCGGGCAAACCTGTGCAGTGTGGTGCGAGTGCTACTACATGTAGCTGTAGAGAGCACCGCTGTTACTAGCAGAGCGGGCGCTATGGTGATCAGCACATCCCACCCGCCCTGGAGCGCTTTCTTGTTACCTGGCTAGTACTCTAGTACTCACCTCGCTTGGCCTCCATCATCTGGATACCCTTTCTTAGCGTTCTCTCTTCCTCCTCCTTGACGTGCTTCACCTCCTCATGAGAACATTTTCGACAACGCTCGTAGACCTCAATGGTACGCGATGACCTCCCGTGCCTAATAGGGAAGGGTGTGCTGTCGCAGTAATGGTTAACCTTTATGTGCTCGTGCTTTGTGTGGCCACAGCTGTAGTTATTGCTACTCAACGCGTTTTGATAAATTGATTTATCCGTAGAGTTGTTTGTCTGTTTGTCTGTCTGTCTGTTTGTCTGTCTGTCTGTTTATCTGTTTATCTGTTTATCTGTTTATCTGTTTATCTGTTTATCTGTTTATCTGTTTATCTGTTTATCTGTTTATCTGTTTATCTGTTTATCTGTTTATCTGTTTCTGTTTGAATTACTGCCTTTTAGAGATGGAATTCATGTCAGAAATTCGAGGGAAGGTTCCTTTATACCAAAGCGACTTGATTTTGATTCATGTTGGAAATTGAGAACGATTGTATTTAGGATTGCATGTTCAGTACTACATGTACGTACATGTATGTATGTCCTCTGGAGACACCATGGTAGATTCTTGAGATACATACACTACACGTACTGTAGACTCTTTGAAGAGCTGCATCTACTATGTAGTCGGGTACAGCTACCTGGCAACTACATGTATGATAGGTTGAACAGTGCTCTACCAGGAGGAATTACAGGAGCAGGTTAGCTATCTAGAAAGCTTGACGAATCGATATATTTAGTACCCGAATATCTAATCAGCTGGGCCCTGACTGGCTGGGGAATAAGGTTACGGCAAAGGCTGGGAAATGATAGCCGTACATACAGTATCCGGTAGAATTATTGCGAAAGTCAGAACTAAAAGGGTGGGTTTCTTGGCCCGTGCTCACTGCAAAAATTCCTTTGAGGGCCAATGGGACTATCGGGTCACGGAAAACCCACTTTCGCATTAATTCTACCAGAATCTGTACATACTCATGTCACACCGCACACGTAGCATTGGTTACGTATGTCACAACTGTGGTCAAACAATGATCTGGCCAGCTAAACAAAAATCTTAAAAACAGATTTAGAACCCAAACGTTCTCTTCTAATGACATCTATCATCACGATCTCTACTAGCTTCTAAACATCTCGACAGCATCCAATCCCAACGCCCTTGAACGATAAGAAGAAACAGAGTGATTGGCTGTGATGGGCAATGACTAGCCATGCATTGAGAGTGAGCAACGGTCTTTACTTGATCTAGCTAGTGAGGTTCGTTCGTTATTCATCACAGTCTTCTTCGCCAACAACCGTATTTACAGCTTGTCGATGTCCCCTCCCTTGCCCTTCCTCTCAGTGCAGGTACGGTGCTTGTATATTCGTGTTGAGAAAGCGGAAGCAGATGGTTTTCATCAATGCGTGCCGTCGGACCCTTTTACTGATTTGGGCTGGTTTCTTTCTCGATCTCAGCGAGGGGAAAAGTGGAGGTGCTACTTTTCACGCAGCCAGCCAAGTATCACTCAGTCAGTCAGCACCTCTTCAAAACCTTCCGACTGAACCCCTTTTCATCCCCTCTTCAATTGTCTGCTTCAGCTCGCATGATCACAACCTTACTGGAGTAACACAACCCCCACTTCACCCGTCAGCGATCCACGATAAACGCCTACGCCCTATATACATCGACCCATATACATAATAAACATGTACCTCTGCAACCACGCTCAAACCCGGTAAACATCATGATCAGAGGTGCATATCAATTGTGCTTTGAGGATGGCAACAAATCACGAATACCCGATACGCAACACCAGTAATTCGACATCATGTGGTTTGATCAGACGAATCGCGGGGGGTGTTGTAATCTTCACGTTGGAGACAGTCAAAGGCTGGTTATTTTGATTGAATATTCGGGTTGAGGGGGCAATCAAACGGAGCATAGTAAGTCAGGCAGACATTCATCCAAAAGTGAATATTAAAGATCGTATAACAAACACATCATCACTACAGTTTGTGGAATCCTACTAGCAATTGGTTGGATATTGGGCCCGTCGTATACCTGTCACAGCTGCATGAGCCCCCTAACAGGCAGAAAAGAGGGTGCTTGGGAGAGAGGGGGCGAAACCATACCTATCATCCATCTCGATACCTTCATCATCCACTATCCTCGTCTCATAATTGGCATAAATACATGCCAGTGTCATTTTCATTTCTACTCCCTATATCAGCTCACCATCATATATCAAGGATAGCAAAAAGGCGTACTCGGGGTACGTACCATAAACTGCCAACCACTTCCCCACACACCCCCTCCCCCCGCTGCCAAACATCCACAACCACCTCTCCCCCTCTTTCCCCTCTTCTTCATTGTTCAGCCACCTCTCTGGCCTCCACACTTCCGCATCCGCCCAAAACGCCCTATGCAAACTATACGCCTGTCCTCCTACCGTCACACCGCCTGGAACACAATACTCGCCCACCATACAGCCACCATCCGTCGTCACTCTTGGCTGTGACCCCGGAATCGGCGAGTTAAGCCGCAATGTCTCCAAGACAACAGAATTGAGGAATGGCAGCGCATCAACATCCTTAAACCGCCACAGATTCTCTGCCATCTTGAGTTCATCATGAAGCCGTGCCTGTCGTTCTGGCGAGACAGAGAGATTGTACGTGGCGTAAGTCAACGCTGTAGCCGTGGTCTCGTGGCCGGCACCAATATGGTCGAGGATTTCACTTGCAGCATCGGTTCTGCCAAGTGCACTATTGCGGCGGAGCCGGTAGTAAACACAATCGTCGTCCGCTCCCTTCTCGGTCGGCATGTCTGCTTCAGCGGCGTCGCACATCTGTAGACACCACTCCTCGATCTGATCATTCGCATCATCAACCCAGCTCGGTATAATCTTCATCTTTCCGGCCGTAAGCCTTTCCACCCACCTCACCAACCCCGGGAGCTCACTCGCCCATGAAAAATAAGGGCGCCGAATCTGATACAGATCTACTAGGAACCTCTTGCGTGCAGCTTCATCGCGGACAAAGTCAGTCCCGTGTCGTTGTGTGAAGAGGTACGACGTTATAAGGTCCAAGGTGAGGGCATTGTACAGCTCGTGCACATCATGAACCTCTCGGGTATCAAGGAGTGGAGTCATTCGCTCCTCGAGAATTCTGCGCGTGTTCGCTAGAAGGGTCGGGGAAGAGGAGATCGTGCTGTTGGAGTATATATTTGCGATCAACCTCTTCCTCTGTGAGTGCTCGCGGCCATGGATGAGCGAGAACAGCGGCTTGGATCTACATTTAACTATGAGCTTCCATCTATATCTACAATTGCGACATGGGATGAAATACCCGTAGTTTGTGAAGACGTAGTACCACGGCGACTTGTCAAGGCGGGCATAGACGGACTTGACAAGAGGTGGGTCGTTAATTGAGATCTCGGTAGGCCCAAGGCGTACGACTGGTCCGTGCTTAACATGCGCAGCGTGAATAGAGCGGTTGCGCCGGCCCGTGAGTGTTCGGCTAAGGATCCAAAGACGTGTGAAAGGTGCTGTTGGGTGTGCGGACGGGATGCGACGGAGAGGGCAGCGGAGGTAAGTGTAGAGGCTGTGCAAGAGGAAGAGTACAAGCAGGATGAGAACCATTGACAGTGAGGCTAGCATATTGATTGATATTATCTAAAGTGGGAGTAGGTGTCTGTTCGGGGAGAAATTATGGCAATGATAGGCTTTGATGATTAGCTACCTTCTTAGCTAGCTAGACCTGCTTACCATAATAATAGTAAGTACTAAGAAGCGATCGGAGTCGCAATTATGGGGGGCAGTGTTTCTACCCTGTCTATCATTAATGAGTGGTCTGATGATGACCTCCTGACCTCGCATAAAACGTTTACACAGTTGCGTTGGGGGGATGAGGTTCAGAGATGCATGAGTCTTTACGCTGCTGCGTAATAGTTGATATTCCGAGATGATGGCGAGATGAAGGCCGAGGGACAAGTGGCACTGGGTTAGGGTTAATGTCTGCCTGAACTACAACCGTTCTGTGGCGTTGTCTTCCCTAGGAGCTCAACAAACAAAGGGCCCGTATTCAAACATGAAGCTGAGTGGACGGGAGCCCGAGGATCTATGTATCTAGCTATATAGCTCTTTTTTCCCAGAATATAATCGTTATCTGCTCCGAGACTCTATCTCAGGCCACTCCCCGTTATCAAGCCACAGCTGTCTTCTTATCCATGTCATGTGATCCGTCCGATACCGTGAAAGCTGCAGACTCGAATACAAAGTAGTTAGTTACCCCACAATCATACCGCATGTCTTGCATTTTAACCATGTGCTCTCGCACTCATGTACGATATGTGCACCCTGTCAGATAGGTAACGAGCTTTCCCTACTTCCCCCTCTCCGCAACTCGGTCTCAGCCCATAGATACAAGTACCGTATTCCCCCGCAACAAATTACAGCAACCCACCCTCCCTCTACATACATCACAGTCATGTATCTCTACGACATTATGTACTATAATCAACCTTCATCACCGTACCAGCACCCAGCACCCACCACCACCACCACCACCAGAGTTAGCAGGCAGCAGCCCTCCTCGCTTATCGATAAGATAGAACCAAGACCCAGATTCAATCAAGATCGGAGATCGACGATGGAACCCTAGTCAACTAGGGATAGGGTTATGAGCTGGGGGGGGGGAGGGAGGGAAGAAGGGAGGGAGGGTGGTGGGTTACCATGGTCCAGTTGAAACAAAAAGAATAAAAATATGACCAGGTAGGTGGTGTAGAGTTGCACTTATGATGACATCTGGTGGGTGGTAGTGACGTAGAGGGACTGCGGGTGAACTCTTTTTGAGATCTCAGGAACGGTTTGTAGTATGTACATGTAGGTAGAGATTATGATGTTACTGTTCTGGAAAATTTAGTGATGTATCACGTTTGATGCTGTTGATGTTGCTGCTGCTGCCGTCCACCCCCATACGTAGTGTGATAGCAGGAAATATATAATTTTTTTCTTCTCTCTCTTCAGCTACTCTGGCCCTTCCCCCGCCTCCGCTCCCCCAGCCTTATTCTATTAGATTAATTGGGAAGAAGAAAAAAAAAGTCCACTCGATGGAAGCTGTTTTTTTGGCTCGTTTAATCGTGAACCATTTACCATATCCCGATCAACACCACTCGGTATGAAACCGGGACCTCCGAAGTGAGGTTTCCGTAAGTATATCCTCTCTTGTTACCAGCTCGGACGGTAGAGTAGTGTAATAGTCTTTTTCGTATTTTTTTTTCTCCCGCCCCCGCCCAAGTTCAAATATGACTTGCTCGCTGTTCATGTTCGTGAAAAGCGCAGCTCATTCCAATATTGCTTGCTTGCCACGATAACAACCGTAGCCCCGAAGCCCCTCCTCCTCTTGCTCCCTACGCCTCCCCCCTCCCCGCCTTCACGTGGGCAAGTGAGTAATTGAGCAGTTGTTTGGTAATGGCGTTTCTGTCCATCCAGCCTGCAGCTGTGCCTTGCAAGGGTTGTCTTGCAGAGCTCCAATGAGCATTATCTTGAAGGGGCCAATGCTCCAATAATGCCCTCCTTCCCCCCCTGACAAGAAAAAAAAAAAAAAAGTGAAAGCAACAGCCAGAAAAACCATGTGTCGGTAGACGTGTTGTTGGGGAAAGGCTAGGGAGCTTAACAGCAGTACCGCGATCGGGCTTCTGAAGAATAACGATCGAACTTTCTCCGGCTCCTTCGTGAAACTTAATCTGATTAAACGTGGGTTTGTAGGTACGACACAACCCCACCCCTCTCCGTCTCGTTGTTACTGCTGCTGATGCTGCTGGTACGTTTAATTTCCGCACTTTCAATATATCCTAACGAAACCGAGCTGACTGAAAGCTGCCTGATGCCTACTGCCGTTAGTTTAGTGACATGTCGTCGAAAAGCTGTCAATTACTTTATTTTTTTTCCCATTTTTTTTTATGTCAGTTTGTCAGTTCAGGTTCCTGGTTGATTCACGATGTATTCGCATGAGATGAATCCCTTTGGTTTGGTCACGTAACTAGCTAGGCAGCACAATGATGCCAACTGTCAGAAGGTTGGAAAAGGGTTTAGTTTCAACACGATGAAAATCTGAGGTTATCCTGGTCGGGGCAGTATAAATATCCGTGACTTCTGACCCTCTGTTTATGTGGCAAAAAGAATCTCGTTTTTATCGTCGAACACTCCCCCACCTACCCCTTCGTCGTGCTAGTCCCTCTGGAAGCTGTATTAGCACACATTTAGACTTTTCCGGTATACGTATAAACCCTAGCAAGTGGACAAGTCAAGAAACCGAAAAAAAAAGAAAGAAGGGAAAGTCAAATATATCACTCGAGACCCATCATACTAGCCACGCATACTACTCGCACACACAACACACGCACCCACAAAAGGAGATTTTCCCTCCCGAGGCATCTATCTGAATCTGCCTGCCCATCGAGACCTACATTTCTTTATTAAAGTCCCTGAGCTCAGAAAAGAAATCTCAGGCCGCAGTCCAAGGGTTATCAATGTGCCGTTACACTAAAACCACCTACCATTGTGGACACCCGTTCCAGTCAAGGTCCGCTACAGATGCCAGGTGTAGAGCGAATCCACACCCACCAACTATCGAGAACACACATGAAGTCACGGCGGATACTCCCTGCCCCACATGCTATATGAGGGACAAGGAGAAGAAGTACCACCAAGTTATGGAGTGGATGGAGGGGATCCCGATCGACGATGAAAAGGGGAAGTCGTCTGGAGGCGGAAATGGAGGTGGGAGCGGTGCCAGTACTACTGAGCGGGGGTAAAGAAAAAAGCGCAATGCCAAGAAACGAAACCGGGATTTGCGAGATCTCCGTATGTGAAATGCACCATGTCGTCGTCGTTTGCTCGTCGAGCTAGCTGTGGGGAATTTCGATCTGATATAAAAATGTGAAATTAGTGCGCACGTACGGATTAGTTGAAAGGTTAGAAAAATTGGACGACGCTTATAGGGGAGGGTTCACGTTTTTGGTCAGTTTTTGTGAGGGGCTACCAATTCTTGAGGTAGGTTGGAAGTGTTTACCAATGGGAATGATTCCACGGGGCAGCTAGACAGAACCCGTTTCTGGGCGAGGGGGCTAACAGCAGGCTTATTAGAAAGGACAATTCTGAAGAAATAAACGTGAATCCCTTCAACGAAGCACCAGTTTTGATCAATAACCTGGTTGGTTGCAAGGGATTGGAATGTAGTGAATTTATTGGTTGTTTGTCGTTAAGGAGATAGTAACTTGAGTCGCGTTTTACAGTACCTCATAAAAATTGTGGGCTTATCAATTGTTGATCAGTGAAGTGTTTTTTGCAGTGGTGTGGATAAGTTGATGTTGCTCCTCGTTCGTCGTCGTCTCACATAATCCGGCCGAGTGAGCTTCCATGAACGGCCAACTTCTTGTGCGACAACGATATACCGAGAGGGGAAGTGCATCGCAGCTCATTTCAGGGCATCTCGTTTTATGCAGGGGGGAATTGTTTTTTGTTTTTTTCCCGAAGCAGCTGATTAGTGCAAAAAGCTAAGCTAGGGCGAGTTAGCAGGTTCAAGAAATTTGGGTGAAGTTGCATTAATTATCACCTTATCTTGGCAATATTAATATTATCGAATCACTCATATCGTTTGACAAGATACATTTGAGACAGCTGAGGTCATGAGATGCAAGGGCCCCTGTCGGTGGAGAACAAAAATGATAAGCTGGCTAGAATTTTAACTTCTTGTTTGGTCTATCAGCCTATACGTTACTTCAAAATATGTCTTGATAGTTAGTAGCTATAAGTAATCATCAGCAGTGGTCATTCTATGGATGTCTAGGCGGTTATACAATAATATACCTTAGAATAATTATCATGCTATATGGCTTTCTAAACGATTCTCAAAGTTCTGAATAAAGGTGTGGAAGCTTATTTGATGTCTGGAGCAGGTGGCATGATCTACCTGACTTCTAGAGTTGGCCATCACCGTGCTTGCGAAGTGAAAATAGGAATGTTAATAGATGAGGAATATCGAAGCATTGTGTGATGAACTGGTAATGAGGGGGAAAGGATATAAAGATTAATATTAGACGATCGCGAGAGGAAAGGCTATGCTAGATATTGACCGACTGCAGATCCGGAACTCAAGGCTAGCGAGATGCTACCCATGACGAAAAAGGGACGACAATTATCCGGCGCATGATCCGGGGTTTAGCTTGTGAAGACCGCACTCGGCACGGAGGATTTTCTGATTTCAAAGTGAAGATACAGACCTTGGTCCAGCATCCTTGGCGGAATTGGTACTAGTTCGGGACATCTTGTGTTCATGGCTCGGCATGCCGAGACAACACACATGAACTTTTTCCACCATAAAACTTGGGGAATATTAAAACCTTAATTCTAGTAACCACAGTCAGAATTTCCAAGTTTTACGATATCAACTACATCTAGCAAAGAGCACATCAAACAAAACAAAATTATAACTAATAAATCTTTTAGTTATTTTGTCATCATAGTGGAATAAGCCAATGTTGTAAAAAGTGATGTTTGAAATTGGTCTTGAAGCTTGTAAAATTCATAGAACATGCATATATATATAAACTACATCTAGTACGCAAAATTCAAGTGCACGTGTAGTTTTGATAAGGGTATGTCATGGCCCCTAGGTTAATTGGGGAGTGATGTAAATTGCCCGGCTAGACATGCATGGCTATATTACCAGCACCAGATCATGGATTTTAAAGAAACACCGGACCCAATTTAAATTCGCCAAATCTTATACTTCGAACTAGTATATGCTAAATATTATCATAATTCTGTATTTCTGAATACAAGGTCACCCAAACAGTCGAGTGGCTTCCTCGGGCTGGGGGAAGACACGGTTTCTTTTACAGCCTAGCTCTTCCAACCTAAATTATAAAAGACACATCATATATGAGAACGTACCCAACTAACACACCCACGCCCATTCAGTAGATTTAGCATCCCATCGCTCGTAGCTCATTCCAGACTGCTTGCCTGCAACCATTACCTGCAACCCATGAAACGACTTAAGCTTGCGCTCCATGTAGCAAGGACTACGTTGATGTGCTCTGAAATCGTCTAGACAACATCCAGACGTTGAGAAACTAATAATGCCTGTTATCCGCCAGGGCTTCAGGGCCCTCTGCTACGAGCCATGGAATAACAGGCTTCTTCTCTCTCTTTCCGGGTTTCATTCATAGGGAACCTACGCTACTCCCCAAAACTAACTGCTGGTAATATAGATATATTCTACAGCTCACACACACAGCGTATATGCTAGCGTTGAAGAAGTTGATAATATATAACTGGAATCTAGAATTCCGGAAATAAAAACATCATGAGTCTTACTCAAGTCTACTCAACCGGGGGGTTAAGCAGTTAGGCGATAATCTCTAGCAACCTCTATACTACATCTAGATAACACCCTAGGTAAGTGTTTCTCATGATTTATATAATCACTAACGGTCACTCATCCTACTTATTTACAGCTATTTTTGGACATCGATGTTGAATCCATGTACTACGCCGTCAAACCAAGTATGATACACACACATGTCTACACCTAGCAACAGATAGAACCGCGACATGGCCGAACTTTCTACGCGGGAAACGTTGTATTTCTTCACCCCCCAACGTACTGCTGCGGCGAGTGCCTACTTCTAAGGCTAAAAACAGTACAACATTACCAACTCGGTATGGTGATGGTTATCGATAAAGCTATATCTACACAGGGCACAAGGCGCGATTATGGTAATACGGTTAAAGCGTGCTTCAATATATGCGAAACCATGTTCATGAGAGTGCTTGTGCGACTGATTGGTGCGGAGTTATGCAAACACTCTACTTTAGACCGACCCCACACGCATAACTCAGCCACACAAGGATTTGTTACACTGAAGTACATACATACATACATGTAGGTAAATACCTACATCATCATAGTAGAGGTGCCTATAGTGCTATAATCTCGCTTCTAAAATAGTCGGTATTGCCGCCAACGCGACCGAAAATCTAATCGGAGCGGACTTTTCCTGACCCCCGAAATCGCAGAACTTTATAAGATAGTGCTCATGCCCACTGGTGCACTTGATGGGAGGAGTTCGTGGAATACTTGGGATCGATGCAATAGAAGAATTCAACTATTTTATTGAGAACTCCCGCGGCCGGGCCCAGTCGATCACTTCTATCCTCAGGCTTCACTCACGCCCCATCTCCCCCGAACCTTCGGCTGTCCCAGTCCCATCAATTTATCTGTATAGACACTACAATCCTCTTTCGAACTATTCTCACTCATCTAAATATCACGATCGAGATGTGTCTTACCTACATATATACCCATCGCCTGTGCGGTCACACCTATAGTGTCAAGAAACGACAATCCTTCGCCTGCTGGTTCACAGGCTCACATAAACGACCTCTACGTCTCGTCCGGACGAAAACAAGATGCGACCATTGTGCCCGTAACCCAAGAGAAATCCCGGTGATCAAGGAGAAAACAGAGGTTCGACAAAGGCCTATTCGATGGTCCGAGGTTTCATGATTCATGAACGGGAATTCGGAGGCTGGCTTGAGTACACAGTTTCGGCGCGGTCTCCAGTCCTTGAACCTGGACTCCAGGCAAGGGTGATACCCGAACTTAATACTGATCCCAGCATATTGATGTATTGCACGTTTCGGATCACGCCTGGTGTAACGGTTCGAGTTGTCGTACATGGAAGCAAGGCAGGGAAGACGGAATAATCGGGGTTGAATTATGCCCTCGACTGCATCCAGGGAACTATCAGACTCATTTAAAATATTGTTAGTAAGTAAGATATTCCTCTACTTCTACCTCATCTGTATTAACACTTTCTGATGATCATCGCAATTTTCGCAGCGGGATAATCCTTGAAATTAGTAGATTGCTAGGATTTGTATCAATTTCCGCATTCTATGGGGCACAGAGAACTATGCCTGGGACTCGAGGAATTGAATGGTCAGTTAAAGCCTTGACACAAGAAACGTGATGTACATATACTTACACCTGACAGTATTATGATTCGTAGCCCATGTACGTTATGTCACGAAGGACTGAAATCAAGTTTTCTCAACAAGAGATGCAGCAATTAGAAATGACCACGATTTCGGCGCCACAAAGAACTTTACAATGCATAACTAGTCGCCAATCGAGACGTCCCTCGTGTTTATTCAAGTAACGCAGATTGCCCAGCAATTCAAGAAACAATATAAACCCCAACTTTGGTATATCAAAACTCTTGAAATATCACACAACTTTCAAGAACGTTTTTCAACATGCGTGCTTTAATTGATTTCCACAATATATATAGTTCAATGGATTTTTATTGTATTGAATTATAACCATACTACATCGAATTGCATCTTTCTCTTTCTCCCCGCATATTCAATCACAATCATAAAATTCAAGTAAATTTAAAGCTAATAATGTATATCCACACAATTACAACATTCAACTGCGGGCACAGATCTATCGACTTCTCACCTACTACATCACATTGTGGTCTAGGCTCATCGATCTGTTCTGCAAATTCGCAAGCGCTGCCACTCAAGGAGAGAGAGAACATGGCTTGTGATGAGTGCTACTGGGCTGGGAGGGATCCCAAGGCGTTTCTTGAAATGAGAGCAGAATGTCTCCGGATCGATTCAGCCTTCGACGCCGAGGCAGAAAAGAAGAAAGAGGTAGAGGTTATAATTGATAGGATTATGGATAATGATTGGGACTCAACGTTTTTCTTTTCGACAGATCTTTAGCTTTTATCACACCACGTTTACTAGCATTTCAGTTTGTATTCCGCGGCCGGCCCAAGAAATAAAATCATTAGAAATTCAAACGTACGCGTGTACACCGATGCTTTCTAATCTTGTATAATTTCCTTTAAACCCTAACCATTAACCACATGTATCCTACCCATGTATGTGATCCTTGTAGGTTATTTCGTTCACGCCGTGGGAAATCTTATCCGAGTGACTTTGTGTGACTAACACTCAAGTCGATCACCCACTTGATACTTGTGCGTGTACTTACCAGATTAAGATACATATTTCCTTTGCCCATTGCGGTGAGTTATGCAGCTCACCAGCATGATGTTATTAACTTTAGCTTATGGCTTAAGCTGAACCCATAGCTACATGTAGTTGTTTACTCTTTGCTTTGTTGTACATGCGTACATTACCGTCAACATAGGTGAAATGATAAGGCTTGCTGTAGGCTTATCGTCCAAATAAGGCATATTTGAACGTTTTTTGACGAAAAATTGTGTCCTTAGCCTTTTCTCCATATAAGGCCTAAAATTTTGTAATCATTTGCCGAGAAAAAGGAGTATATACATCTTTAGGTCTTTGTACACATTAATTTAGTTTAAGTGTTATCAAATAAATTAAGCCTTTATACCAGATAAGTCTTTTTATCAAATAAGACACTTTCGGAAAATAAGGTTTATATAAGATTTGTAATTTCCGATTTTACTAGCATTTCATCGGCTATCCTACTTATATATTACCTCCAGCAACGAAATTTCAGTTCTCCCATAGCTTAGTGGGTAGAATGAGGTACATTCTACCTACAATGCTCTAGGTTCAAATCCTCTCTTTTGCTTTTTTGAACCACCAAGGACATAATCTTATCTGGAAAAAAGTCTTATATTAGCCTTAAAAAATGCATAAGTCTTAAAATATGGAAAAAGTCTTATTTCGAAATAAGAATTTTCACCTATAGTTATTTGCTGTAGGATTATTCATAAAAAAGCAATATATCAAATAAAAGGTTTATTTTAGGCTTATATAAGCGTATCCTGAGCCTTCCGCAAGCATTATTATTTGACCTATTTTGACGGTAAAGTATACATGCTTGCGGACAATCACATGCCAGGCTCTGAACAATACATGTAAGTACCTCCCTTTCAGTATATTACATCTACTTGGATCACGTGCTACCGTGGATAACAGAAGTGGGCATCCGAAATATATGTATGCGTAGAATGGCAAGCCTTCTACTGTATACATGTTTGCTTAGATGTGGTGATATCTTCCCGAACCCATTGCTTCGTGAATCGGCGCCACAAGGTCGTGGGCGTTAAGCGAAAGAGAATCAACAGGAGCTAAGCTTGGGCTTTCTCGTGCTGTGTGGCAGGCATTTGGTCAAAATCATGCAGTCACACGTAACACTCGTAGGGTTACGATTGATATGAAATCAGTATTGATGGCCTTGAGACAAATCACATGTTGTATCATGGTATAGAGTAAGGTGTATACGTAGGGCTAGTACCAAGCTCTCTAGTACGTCTCTAAGTAAACTTGCTTGGCAATATCCGATACTAGGACGACGACCTCGAAAACTCCGTAATCAATCGCAGGGTATTTACAGTATTCTTCAAAACACCACTTGCTGGTAATTCGCATCTTCGCTCATTTTGTACACGGTTTTCAAGGTTAAGAATGCCATCGGGGACGTTGAAAACACTTGAGCTGCATACTACAGTGTAACCTTACTAGTAGAATGTCTTTCTTTACACGTAACGGGGAAAAGGCTAACCTATAATAGATGCCACCGTTGTTGTTCTCGGCGACGTCATCGGCACCCAACGTCAACTCTCAATTTCTCTCCCCGCTCTCCCCGCTCTTGCCGATTTCCTTCTTACGTGTTTCCTGTTATGGTCAAAACTCACCTTATCTTTATCACTATCCAACAAGATGGCTCCATGGGCCATCTAAAAGGGGTTTCTGACTAAGGCTTTTGGTCCATCATGATATATTTAGAGAGTGCATTCGTGTCTCTTTTCAGCCAAAAGAAACCCAAGATTAATCGGTTTATAATAAATATCTTCAGAACAGACTGCTCGCACAGAAACGGTGATAAATCACTCGGTTTCCGAATAAACCCCCCCCCCCTCTCTTTTCCCCTGGCGCTCTAGACTTCACCGCCAGGAAGGACATCCCCCAACCCAGACGAAAGAGATCAGATGAGTTTTTTATCCTCATCATCTCATCCGAAGTGTTACTAGGCTTATAAATATGGCTCGAATCCTGTCTATTGGATCTAGGACTTTACTTTTATTTTTCCATGACGTCGGACTTTTATCCTCAGTGTAGGTCTATAGAAACCTTTACCTATCAATGAATACTTCATTGTATGTTAATATATGTCTGCAGTTCGAGTCAAATAGGCAACGGGAAATAAGCCTTGGCATATTGAACCGAGTGATATGTTATGTCTGGAAAAGCTCCTGAACAATAATTATATTTCGCCTATTTGGCCCTAACAGCACGACTTCAAGGCCGTCAAAGAATTAATTCAAAGAAGCAGACTAGATGTCATACTGTTTCAGCTTCAATATATCCCACACCCTCCTTCCCCTTGCCAGCGCTGAAACTTGAAAAAGCCACCTCCGCATCTACTTACTACACCAAACCAGGTACAATAGCCGTATTTCTTTTTTCTTCCCCGCTAACGGTATCTGTAGATTTTGTGTTGGACTAACCGATTCGTGCTATCTTTTAGAGTACCATGGTAATCAGCCTTGCATGATGCAAAGTTTTATTGGACGGACAGGAACCCGGAGACGTGGGACTGACAGTCTACTCTAAGAAGACCGCCACAAGCCTGGTATAATCCATTTCTATGGATACGTAAATAGGTAACGTAGGTACTATCTTAGCTAATTAGGCGGATAATAATCCGTGCGACTATTCTAACTTGTGGAGAAAGTAGCCTTAACCTCAAAATGTGTTCTTGTTACAAGTGACGTGTCGTTTTCTCGAAAGAAAGTACATGTAGATACAGTATCATTATAGGGTGCCTAGAATAGGCTATCCGGAGGTTTAGTTCTAAGGCATTCAGTTAGTAAGATTTTTTCTTTATGATTCCTTGCAAGGCTGCTTAACATCTCAACTGACAAGGGTACACTAAGAACTCTCTAGTCTATGAGAATTTGAAGTATTGCTGATTCGCCTCGCAATAACATATTACGTGGCCATAACAAACACCCGTCCCATCATTGATATACCCGTAGGTACTGCTGGCATGAGTGAAGAATCTCGAGATTCCATGGGGTGCAAATTTCCCGGCGCTCTGACCCTCAAAGGATCTGTACCGTGCATCGATGCAGGAAAAGTCTTAAGAGTCCCCGTGATCATGTGGTTTTAATTCGATGATGCTCCACAAGATGCAATTCCAATAGGTAAATAAGCTCATTCTATTATTACTATGAAGTGCCGGGGGATTTCTGATCGGATATTCTGTGGTCCATGGTCCTGAGTACTGTTAAATATCCGCTGTGGTACACGATACGATTTAAGCCAATGTTGTACAAGGCCGTTCTTAGACTTGGCAAATCATCCCCTGTTAAGCTATGTCTTATAATTATGAATTACACTCGAATCACAGCTCCATCACACAGAGATGACATTGCCATGCCTATCTGTAGGTGCTAACCACCTAAGACCTTTCTATACCACAGTTACAAGCTAGTAAAATCCTCCGAACCAGTTGTTTACCAGGGCTTTGAACACACTTGAAGGGGGGAGGCTCTGCAAGAGATAGATTTTAATACCAGATACGTTAAAATGGTTTATAGGTAATTAGACGGCACAGATTCTGTACCAAGGCTTTGTCAGGTCTTATGGACGTTGATCCATAAATCATTGGTAGCGGTATTTGCATACTCTATGGGTAAGCTGAGACCAGACTGTCCGTGTACCCAGTGCTCAAATCACTCCCCCTCCCCCACCTTGAGTACGATGAGGTCATTAATAGAGCAGGTAGGGTATGTAGGTTTGGAGGCTAACCCTCGGGGATTTAGATTTGCCAAAGACATAATTTCCGAGTTTCTTATCAATTCGAGATGTTCAATGATCAATGATCGGGTAACTGAGGAAGCTAAGAGGCATTCCCGTGATCGCGAGTTCATCCAGTTACGAGTTAGCCGCAGGTAATATCTGACATGCTAGAATAACTGATTGTACAAAGAATCTAGAAACCCCCGATTTGATAATGCATCAGGAAATTCTCACCGACTTCAAGTCACTTGAAACTGGGGTCCAGAGTAATTGTCAATTCGATATTAGCATGAACGCGAAACAACCCGTAAGGGAAAATACCCAATATAACTATTAATGGCGGCAACTAAGGCTATATGATTTCCTTGTATAGCATTCGTATCCATACCTTTGTACCCTGCCCCGGGAAGTGGCGTTTACGCGATAGTTTTAACCTCGATAGCTTTAGATGGCAATTTTCTCATAGTATGTAGGCTCAGTCGGCGAAATATTTAGGTCTTTATCTATCATCATCCCTATGTTTCGTAGCTAACGAGAAATGAAAAAAGGATTAAATTGGGCACAACAACCGCTCAGCAAATCCCCCTTCGATTGAACTGGACACTAGGAAACGTCGCTGTTTCTTACTATGCACAGAGCCGTAGTATGGTTACTGACACGTGGACCAACCTTTCTCCTAGTGATGAATATCTTCTGATTGCCCTTTTCGGACACTCGCCCCTCCAAGTCGTGGTTCCAGGTGGGCGGTATTGATGACTTGATCGACCGCGTGCAAAAGTGAGATTTCCATCTTTCGCTCTGGGCGAACCGTAGAGGAGGAGTGAATGAAGGAAGGCAATTGAATAGGTACGGCTCTCGGCTTTAGATCGAGTGCCAATTATCGTTTTCTGTTTAGCGGTAAGTAGGTATACCTGGCCACGAAAACGTGAGAGGGAGTGCAGCGCAGGGAAAGTTGTGGTTGAGAATTGAACACATGTTGGGACGATAAAGTACGCCATGCCCTATTCAGTCATACAAGGAAGGAAAATAAAAAAAATAAAAGTGAGAAACAATTAACAGAAATTCTTTTACAATGGCTTATTCCATGACGATCGCTGTTATTTTTTAGAGCAGAAAACGGCAAGAGAGAAAACCGTTGGGTAAGGCATGCTATTTAACGGGATTTACTGCCCCGCAGCGCTACAAGCATTCGTATGGTACATACACATACATGTAGATGTATTCATAACGTACTGCTAGAGTAGGTACATACATGTATGTACAGGATGTACTGTAGGTACATACGTACGTATACACGGACTACTCTAAACACCAACATCTTTGGCGTTTCCATGGGAAGATACATACATTCATTATACAGTGATTGCAACAGAACTCTTTAGGTACGTGTCGCGAACATAGCTCAATGCGGGGTGGTAGCGGCCAGAGCTGATTGGCGCATCTGCGTCTCTCTTCTGGTTCGGAGACGTCCACGACAACACCAGCTCATCTCGACTCGGCAACCACCATGACTGAATTGCCGTCAGCTAATAGCAATCAGCGCTGATATAATCACCACTTATAAATATCAAATCAACTAGCCCTTTTAAGGACTACAACCAAATGGCCCTTGGTCTATATCTGGGCTCTGATTGATCGAACATACATTGGATGATCCGGGACGGTGGGAATTAGTTTTTAACAGAGATTCTATTGGCTGTCAGTTAACTCGTGAGAGATATGGACAAGCCCGTACCTGAAAAAATATTCTCTTAATTTTTAGCAGACGATTCAATGGCCTTTTTCAGAGATGAGGGCAGATTCTATACGTCTTTGGAGGCATCTTGATGCAAAAACCACCCCGCATTCTGTACGATCCTTCTTTATTTTCCCTCCCACTCACATGTGTTATTTCTTATTCTTACATTGTAGATCTACTTTGTGGGGAATATGTACGGGAAGGATAGTTCAGGATGGAGTTAAGCTGGAAGTTAAAAGGTAAAAGATGACAAACATGTGGCTCGTAGATGGAATATCGCCCTATCATACGCATTGTATCACTGTATAAGTATATATGTAAGTACGTACATGTAGGTACCCGCTCACAGGCTCCTACAAGTTAAAATACGTCACGTATTAGTTAAATTAACTATTTGTTTAGTCCAGTCCCAAGCTTCGACACCTCTGGCCGTACATTTTCCATGAACATTCTTCTCGGTGGAACCAAAATATAGCTCCTTAATTGGGCCACTTGATTTTTTGTTTACTCAAGAAACGCGAATCTTTGCCTATTTGTGCGCAGTGCCCGGGTTTTACACCTTGTGTCTGTTCTTGTTATCGTTTGAGGGAAGAATCCCGCAACATGTTGATCTAACTTGCTGAATGTCCAAACATGAACTTCAGGCTCTATAGCTAGTTTTACAGGTTCTATGGTTCACGAACACTCACTCGTTCTGCATAAGTCTAGAGTATTGCGTTTTCATGGCTGAACTGACAAGAACGACATTCACTATCAGGTACCAGGGACTGGCAGGTGCAGATACGTACGTCGAATTCCAAAATAATGGAAACAAGGGGTCTTCCCTGTTGAAAAGATCCGGATAGCATATTTTGTGTCTCTAGACAAGCTCCAACAGTTCATCCAGAATTTCTGGAGTCGGAAGATGAAACAAACCGAAAAAAAAACCCTTCAAATAAAGCGCAGTCTTTTATACTGTCGCTCTTTGACAGGCAGGGGTCCAGATCAACAGCCAGGTGGATATTTGGAACCGGGCGGATCGAGAGAGGCGACGCGGTGAGGTCTTTCTTCGAAACCTCATGGCTCCAGGCCAATCGATATATTATACTAATACCAGCCAAGATCTGAGGTTATGCATCAAGGTAAATCCAAATCTGCACCGTTAATCCTTCAGGGGAAAAGAACAATTCTCTAACAACATTACCCCTTTGCTGCATACATTGCATACTTGCCTGCTTTCCTTTTCCCTTGTCATTCCTCTTGTTTGGCACCACGGTACTTTCTCAAACTTGCGTTTACTACCAGGTCAATGTATTGTTTTAGTTGTTTTCTTTTTTTCCCGCCTTAACCTAATTGACAAACTAACTAACTTCCTAGCTATGTATTATCCACCAACCCAAATGTAGTACCCACCTACCCGTTGATTTCGATCAGTGAAGGGAGAGTACGTGGTGTGAGATTAAACAGATTCGAGTAGATGAGACGATGTCTCTTACTGTGGAGTACCCGCCCAACTCGTACTTTCCAGTAGAAAGTAGCAGCCCATCGGGAGCCTTTGGAGGATGTAGTTGTAGTTGTGTGAGCTGGCAGGTCATCATATTTCAGCAAGCAGGCAAACGACGAACGAGAAATTGAGAACAAGACAACAGTACCAACCCATTGATATGTACTGGACGTCACTGCTTCCCATGGAAGCCTCGGTCGAACAATCTCTGCAGACCGAGCACCTGCGGTCCACCGTGGTAGCTTACTTACAACACAGTATCCATACCCCTTGCTCATGCAACATGCACGCCCCCACCGGGACAGGGTCCCTTACAGGTCTCGTCGACTTCATCACGCATATTTTTTTGGGAGCATACCATACCTTTCGACAGATTGCCTTTTTTTACTTTCAGCCTCCTTCCTTCTGCTTTCCTCCTCAAGATAAAAAGCATGGCGATCAAAGCTACTTTAACAGCCACTTCTTCCCCACAGTACAGACAGTATCAACAAGCAAGCAAGGCACAGAAAAACAAAGTCCATAATCAGAATTCGGTAACATATATATCAATCGCCAGCTACCCACCACCGCATCGACAGAACACCGCCAGACTCAAACACAGATTAATAAATCTCAATAACAACACATCCCTCTAGTCCAGTCCAACTGCTCCAAACTTCATCGAGATTTACTCTCGATAAAAAATCTACCACAACGTCTACCTTCAATCTAGCAACCATTACTACCCTCAATACCTACAGCATGTCCTCTCCTACCTCCCCAAGCTCTCCAAGATCGCCACAAAGTACCGGTGTATACTTCAATTCGAATCCGCTACCTTCGCCTTGGCAAAATAAGCTCAACGGTTAGCTTCAAACCCTTACCCCCCACCACGCAATTCCGAGATACATGGTTCTAACAAGCAAACTTTATAGAGCATTGCAGAATATATAGGATAAAAACCCCAGTCTGGACTGTGATGTCGGATAAACGAGGTAAATCAATCCCCCCAGTATCCCTGGCCCATCAAATCTGCAGATAACTAAAATTGCTTGATTACAACTTAGGTGGTCGAACAGCCTGGTCAAGCTCCGTCGCAATCGATACTAAAATTTTTCCCGCCCGGTACTGGTACGACGGGCAGTACCTAAACAACGCGAAGGAGGACGCCGCAGAGGTCGCATTACAGTGGGTGCAGAAGTATTTGAACTCCTCTCCATATGGACACAACTAGATCATATTGCGCCAATTCCACACCCTCACGTGTTATACTACTCCTGATCCTACTACGCTGGCTTGAATCTTTTCGCAAACCTATTATGTTGGCATTTTTTTATTTCACGACCTACCTTTACCTTACCCTTACCTTTCAGGGTGTTGTTTTCATGATGTTAGCGCGGGGTGTCTGAGTTTGGGCGGCGTGGTTAGTTAGATATGGGAGGGCAAAAATTCTTTGGGGGGGTTCTGATTCTTGATTCTTGATTTTTTTGGAGGGTATCGATTCAGTTTGTTCGTTTATTTTCATTTTCACATTGCACTCGCAAAAGATTCTTGGCGCTGGGAAAATTTTATTCGGGAGGATTTGTTTCTGTTTCTTTTCTTCTTCGTTCTGCTGTTGGCTATTATTGTTTCTTATTTCTTTCTTATTTCTTTTTACTTCTTCTTTCTGTTTACTATTATATACATCTCTGTATCATTCGACTTCGTTATTGCGTTGGGGGGGTTCTGCTAAGTCGGTTTTGTTTTTGTTTTCATGTTTCATGTTGTTTGCTTTTTTTTCCCTCCCCTCTTATTGCATGAAGATTTCTGTGCCATTATTTCAGATCACAGCTTGTTTGCTTGACTGCGAGTACTCCATAGCTATATAGATGTGCCGATTTTTAAATTTTTATTTCCACAGATATCCGTTTCAAAATTGAAGTTTGGACGTTGAAATGGGTTGAAGCATGCGGTGCCGCGGTAATGAAGCGATCTATACATTAGGTATGTGCAGTCGCCTTATAATCAAAGTGCACGTACGCTACATACATCCTTGGCCCGCCGGCAAACTGCAGGTGTGCATGCAAGCCACGATCCAGTTGCAGCTTCACCACAATTTTGGGTATTTTTGGTCTGAAACTGCATTCCTCAATGTGTTGAAGGATGTAAAACGCATGCAGTTAAATTATACTGCTCTCGTATGTTACCGAGTGATATCTTATGATCCGGTCGGAATCGCCGGCGGCAAGAGACCAGCCTCTCGGACCTGTGTTCAGTTTGGGGTAGATCGAATTGAACATGAATAGATATGCACATACATATACCCATACACATACACATACACACGCAAACCTTCCTTTAGTTGGATGTGCGTAGAATTGTCTAGGTTAGTTAATCCTAACAGTGCACAGAGAATTGGTACTCCGGGAACTCCACCATAACACCTGGACAGCAATCCTCTACATCCCAGCATTCCCCTGGTAATCAGTGGAGATCCCGCGATCGGATATCCGCGAAGTCGGGAATTGGGGCCGGCCCGTTGCTATGCTGTGCTAATCTCTGATAGGAAGGTTGTGAGCTGTTGAATATCCCGAGATCTCGGTAACCCGAATGTTTTCTCAAGAAGGAGCGCCATGTTGAGAAACACTTACTCAGACATCCCGTCTCTCTGCTGCTTTTGTCTCGTCTCTCCGCGGTCCGAATTGACAGCGAAAAGCAAGTACAAGGCAATGTAGGTATCATGGATTGCTTGCTTGTCTGTATGCAGGTACCTCAGACCAGGATTGAGAGAGAGGAGTACATACACATGTGGAGTGCTTTAGACGCCGCTCTCATACATCCCCGATCTTATCGAATTCGGTTTCCCTTGCACAAACCCGCACCCCCTAGGCGCATATGTATGTACTCGGCATGTACAAGTGGCTCTGAATCGAATAGAGTGCTCTTGAAAACCCCCTTGTGTTTCGAGCAATGCATCACATTTGTATTTATTTTTTGAGCGGGCCTGCCAGCGGAGACGAGGCAAAGAAACGTCGCTTCTGGTTGAAAAAGCAATTCTTCGGGGTAGTTTGGATGCGCGGTGTAAACAGCAAATATTCCAAAGCTTGTTACTAACTCCAAAAGGAACAGAACAATTGCCACGACATTGGAGTCGTCTGTTCTGTTGAAAATCAAATATAGCCAGCACATTTGTGATATGATGTACTGATGAGAGCCCTCATCCTCCGTTCGAGGACACCTGAGACTTTTCGGTGAAAAAATATCTGATGCTGTTTTAGATCAGCGGTCTACAGACAGGTTGGGGTTCTGGGTCTGCCGAACCAGATCGGGCGAACCGTCTTCGGCGAAAAAATTCCGAGCCTTTCGTCGTACGTAACTCTCGGTTCAACTTCCGGAAACTCCTTACTAACTCAGCCTTATGTAGCCAGACTTAATGGGCAGCCAATTATGTCCGGAAGGATCCGCAACTCCGTAGCCTATATTTGTACCTGGATTTGCGGGGTTGTACTGAAACCAAAGTTGCTGACTGTGACAAGCCTGGTCCAAGCTGTAGCAAAATGGCAATACCGTACTATCGCTTCGTTAGACGTCTATTCGTTTGGCAATACTTATTGGCGGTGTAGGGTACTGGGGCTAAGAGGCTGGCTAGGCCTAGTATCTTAATTTCTTATTGCTTGCCTGACCTCTTGTCCGGATCTACCGTGGTTTTGGCCCCCACCCGAGAGGACGTACCAGCCTACCAGTTGATGAGGATCCATAATAATTGTTCTGCCTCGAAGCGAAGACTCGGATAGTTTAGTTTTGACGTTTGAGGGATTTTCCTAATTCCGTTATCAGAGAACCTATAAACAAGTATACTGCTGTAGGGACCTACCTCCAGACCGATGAATCATGGCTATCAACTCATACTGTAGATACATATAGTATTTATTTACGTGGCCGAATGCAAGTAGTACCTTCTATTTCGTAAAAACTATATCCGTCCGACTGGTGCCCAGTATTAGTGTCCCAAGAAAGCCTATTGGGAACACTTAGCTGCCCGATATCGTCAATTCTGTATCCATATATACTGGCCTCGTGCTCATTTCATTAATAAGTACCAACTGAATGTAGTAATAGGATTGATTAGACTTTGCTTGATATGTGCTGGTAATGCATGTGGCCTGAAAATCCAAGATAATAAGGAAGATGGAGAAAAAACCAAAAGGATAACTAGGGGGTTGATGAAATTAGACAAAGTACGATGGATGATGATCATGAGGGAAAGGGGAAATTTTCATTCTCAGTCGTCTGATGTGTACGTGCATTAAAGGGTGACATCACACATATTTTTCATGGTCGAACCTTAAATTATTCCTGTTTCGTAATTAATTATAACTCTATTGTCATGCAACTCCAGCTCTGGATCCGTGTATGTGTAATTTTCTTGTGATATTATATGTAAGGATGCATAGGACCGGACACATCAATATACATAAGTAAGTACATGTATTTTGAAGGTTTCTAAGCCCAACTTGATATGTATATATTCGATCATATATTAATTTATGTAAGTAACATACATGTAGTATCAAGGGCCCGTTGATACATGTACTTACATGTACATATAATAAAATACGAGATATAGAAGTACTGTAGCGTTGCAAACCCCTCGAGGTGGGGCTTGGTTGGGATGGCCTCGAATTAAGAAGATATATATTACTCCAGTAGCTAGCAGCCTTTATGTAAATTTGGCGAAGATCAGAGGCCGAAACAAAAACGGTATGATGTAATCATGTTTCTTTTTAGAGACGTTAGATACATGTACCCTATTAGCTCCAATGTCTCATTATGAAATCGGTATTAAACTAACTAAATTTACTGCAGTACACAAATAAACCATCAAAATAAACCAAGTAGGCCTAAGCACCCGCCCTTAACGGGCAGATCAGCCCTGCACTCACCAGGGCCGCACCCGTGCCCACTACTGTTGCCAATATTCTCCCACACTCCCGCAAGCTTCCATCTCCACGCCAAACTCGTGAGCCCTTATCACCAACCTGGCAGAATGCACTTCCATCCAGAGTCTCTGCACAGTACTCCCTCGTCACTACCCTCGGCATCGCATTACTTTTTAGAGACGTGTATACCCGTCTGGCGCACACTCGGCCCATGCTACTATTTGTGTGCACTATCTCGCCCGGATTTAAAGTGGTGTCATAGATAGCGAAGGAGATTGTGAGATGGTCAGCGCGCATGATTGTAGATTCCAGGTGTTGAAGGATTCGTAAGCGCAATTGCGGTGTATGGTTATAGGGCCAAGCTTCGTCCTGGTAGTAGTCTGCAGTGAAAATGCTGTCTCTGGAGTTTTCTAACACCTTCACTATTTTAGTCTCCATGAACGGTTCGGTATCTGTATCGGATTCTTCATGATGCTGTTGTAGCTTTGTCAGCGTCTTTGCAGCATCTAGGATCTTCTGATCGTTTTCGTTGTGCTGCTTGTTTTCGTTTGTTTCCTTATTTCCAGTCCTACTAGTTTCGATCGTTATCTCCCCCGTTACCTCCGCACCCTCCACGAGGAAAGGCCACCCTCTGAAGTCTATCCTCGCCGCCAGTTTAACATCTGGCAATACAACGCCTACTCCGGCAATTTTGAATCTGCCGCACGAGAAGACCACAGGCATGACGGCCCACCCACCGATGGTATCTGCAACACCTACTTGCTGCGTAGCATCATGGATCTGGAGAGCTATATGGGTTAGAGTCTTGTCTGAGGGCTGCGGTTGCGTGAAGCCTTGGGGAAAGTGTTGGGACAGGGAAAGGCGGGCGCCAGTCGAGTGGTTGAAGTATTTCTCGAGGCCTTTGTGCACGAGAAATCCTATATCGGTATGTGATTCAGTCCCAAATCTTGAATAACAATTCCAGGGATAGTTAAGAGCATACCGTTCTTGAAATTGGTCTTTGGCACCAAGAATCTATCATCGGCCAGCATGCGTCCTCGTACACCTGATATATCTACTTAGCAACTAGATCACCTTCTTACCATTGATGAGTTCCTTACCGCTACCACTACTAGGGTTTGCATTCCTTACACGCTCTAGCAAGTTGTACGGTTGCGACATCACGATCACATTCTCTCTCGCAAGTGCTTCGCCGGCTGGGTTGTCTGGAGTCCGTGGTAGTGGCCTCTTCCCCCCAGCTTTCGGATCACCATTAGGATTCCCTTTTTCTGTACCGGAGCTATCACTGCCAGCCGGTTTTCCTGCAGTCACTTTTGGAGACCCAACCATGTAGATAAATCTCCCTGGCCTATTCTCAGAATCGGCAGGCAATATTCTCTTGAGCCTTTTTATCAGAGAAGGGTTATTGGGGTTATGGTCAATGAGGTCCCGAACTACAGCTTCTGCCATTCCGCGTTTCTGCGAAGGCGATGCTAGTTTTACCTTCTTTCTACCAGTCGGGAACGGAGTTGGTTCAACGAGCTCCTCGGCCCCTTGAGTGGGGGAGGAAGGGTTTTTGCGCTTCCGGATCGGAGACGCATGAGCGTCAGAATTGAGGCGAGGATTAGTGTGCGGTACTCTCATGGTAAATGTAGGTATGGCCCTGGCATTAGGAATTTCCTGGCGCAGTGTTTCCTTCTGTACGATCATTGGCACCTGAGTTTCTGCCTTGTCTGGAATAGCCTCCTCCTCCTTTGCTTTTGGAGCTTTAATTTTCTTCATATTTGCCATCTTTCTAACGTAATCCCCTAGGATTCTTGAGGACTCTGCCTCCACCATCGCGATATCTAGAACCCTTTTTCTTTGTATAGCCGGGGTCCTTGTGATACCATCACTCTTAGCTAGACTAGCCACTCCCGCTTCCTTGACGATGCTCTCTTGTAAATAGCTGCTTTGAGCAGCTGGAGTGACAAAAATATTGTCATTTACCAGGGAATTTTGACCCTCGCCTGGAATAGTCGCCTCTACACCAAAAAAGCCGCTTTTGTTGGTTCTAAACGCATCATAATATTCCTTTTTAGTATCCCTTTTCGGCGCTCTCTTTCGGCGCTTCCTACCAGGAGACTCAGTTGGTGTAGCCTCAATTTCGGCCATAACTGGGCGATTAACCTTCTTATCTTTAGGCTTTGGCGGATCTGACTGCGCCGCCAGCTCGGGCTCAGGAACGCTTGTTTTTGACCTGTGCTCCTCCCGTTTCTTCTTCTTTGGTTCTTCCTGTGTTCTCTGTGAAGGCACGGCTAGATACTTCAATCAGCTAGGAGGACAAGTAAGGGTTGAATTGTTGGTTAAAACATACCATCGATATCGACATTCGCCGTGCTCCTCTTGGTTATTCTGGGGACGGTACGTTTGCGTTTGGTGATTGGGTCCTTAGTCGACATATTTTCTATGCTACCACCCGATATTTCGGTAGTAGATGAATGAACAAATGAGTAGAGGGGGAGAGGTTACATTGTATACCCAGCTTCAGGAACAAAGGATTTTCAGAACAAAGGACGAAACAGATATCGTTCGACAAAGAGAGTGATAACTGCTTTGTAAGGATCTCATAGTATAGGCTATGAATCTTTGGACGAATAGCGACAATAGAATTAAAGTGGACAGGCGGGTAGAGCTTGTGTTTAATCATGAGGAATCACTCGGAGCGCCAGGGTTAGGGTTTATGGAACCAAATAGAAAAGGTTCAATGGGTTTTCGAGAGGAAATGTCCACCGTCTAGAAATATAACAGGTGGCTGGTTCGTGTGAAAAATCCAGGTATCCTGTGATTTGGCCATATTAGTACATGTCCAAACTATACGGCCCGCCCCCGCCCATATCCTCATTTAAACTGACAATACCGTTCATCTACATATTAGCCAACCACCGCTACCACTCTCCGCGAGAAAAAAAACGAAACGAATACTACCAAAAAGCTCAAGATTGCAATCGATGAAGGTAACGATTACTGCTTATTTGATAAAATCAGATATGATATGAATACTTGATACTAAAAGCAAAACAGATAAGAATATCAGAGACAACAATCAAACCAAAACCGAAAAGGAAAGAGAAGAGATTGGGACCGATCCCCCCCCAGCATAATATGCACCCTGGGCCCAGCAGATAATCCCCACAGGATACCACTGGGCCTCGTGCACGCTCATTGAATGACGACATGTACCTCTGCTTCGTCCTCAAAACCCAAGCCCAGATAAGTAAGCCAAAAATAGAATAACCAAAAATGTGCAATTTCACGATACTAACGTCAATCAGTCCCATCCCAGCCGGTACGAGCCCTTAGTACAGGTCCTCGGGATCCTCATGATCTTCGACGTCACCCCCATCCCACCTCATTCTCCGCCCCCTCGCTCTAGTTCCCTGTGGTGCATCCATCCACCTTGTCCTTCCTTCCCCATCATCAACCCTAAAAAACACTTCTTCCTCCCCAATTTCCCCCAAGACCCCCAGCAATTCTCCAACATCCCATACCCCCTCACCCACCGCTCCCCACTCCACCCCATCACCCTCTAATATCATCTCAATCAGCGCCTGTGTCTGCGCCCTCCCAATCGCTCCCGCACCACCACCACCGCGACACCTCCGGCTTCGCCGGTGCGATGCCAACTCCCGCTCAGAGAATATATACGCGTCGTGCGAGTAGTGGCAATCATTACCGAACGGGCAGAAGGGCCGGGGGCGCGTCTTAAGAGAGTCGTGGAAATAGCGGCAGGGAATTGTGGTCAGCTTGTCCAGATACCGCTGCACAATGATTTCTTTGGAAGCCGCGGTGGGAAGAATGGAGGATGGCACGATAAACTTGCTGCGGACGCGGCAGAGGGGACAGGTTTTGGAGGTCTTGTGGAGGTCATCGGGGGCACCGGGGGGAAAGGGACTGGGGGCATTATTGTTGCTGCTCCCGGAAGAGCGCCAGGAGCGGATGCACGCTATGATTATTAGTAAGTTTACTGCATTATTTTGGGACATGTGGGATATTGTTTCATGGTGAGATTCGAGGGGTTGGGGGTTTTATACTGGGTGTATCATGAGTATTATTTTTCTCATGGTTTCAGTAGAAAACCCCCAAGCCCTGTAGAGTCCCACCAGTCGACAATTTTTTTGGCCAGATGAATATATGGAGAACAAGACTAAGACACCTACAGAGACAAAACACATGATCACAATTCGTCAACAGCCCATAAGTCGATGGGACCTCAAAGCAAATGGCGCAGCATTCCTCGGTGTCCGTCTTATCGTCTTTGTCACGCCACTCAATGATCAGGACCGATACGACAAACAAAATAACCAGAACAATAATCAACGCCCGCAGACTCACCAGCGGCAGAAGCTGAACATTTCCCTTTCTCGTCCACGGCAGCAGTAGTGTTTATAACAACGTCCTCCACACCCGGCACCGCGGCGACATCGTGTGCGTACCAGCACGTGGAGCCGCGGGAGCAGTACCCCTTCAAGAAGAATCTGCATGGTACGGAGCTGGGTGGGAGGTTTACTCTCTCACCTATTTCGGGGGTGGCGCCCTTGAAGGTTGAGGCCGATGCCGATGAGGATGGAGTAAAGGGGGCGGCGGTGGGCGAGTATGGTCCTGGTTCGTCTGGCATGGTGGAAGAAGACGAACTGGAGGTATGTATGGTATGTATGGGGTGGGGGGAATAACTGTACTGAATAACTGATTGGGAGAAACACGCACAGGCAAGGCAAGGGGATTCACAGGATGGAGAAAGCAAAATCTCAAAGGGCACAGAAGACTATCAAACAGGGTCAAGCACAGGTACTATGTGAAGGATAGATTCTTGAGGTACATGTAGTTGCGTGGTGGAGTAGACAAGAAGAGGGGGGGGTATGGTGAGAGGATAAGGCGAAGGCGAAGGCGAAGAGGGTGAGTGTGAGGGAGAGGGTGAGAAGAAAGAGATAAATGGGGTCGTGTGAGATCAAGAGATCAGATCAAGAAGTAGGAAGTAGGTAGGTATCCTATCTATCTAACTATCAGTTGTTCGGCCGAGGGTAAGAAAGACATGAAGGTTAGGTACAAGTAAGTAGGTAAAGTCGCAGTAACTGGGCCAGTGCTTCTAATCAATGCGGGGGTCAACCGGACCAGGGTCGGCGAATAAGCCCGCGCTAAAGGTCACTTCGGTAAATAACACGTCCCCAGCATGTAACCACGCATAACAGGCCTTTAGCACTGTAGGTGAATTTGTTTGACTGACTGCAGTGATGCTCATCTCTTTGCTCTACTTTATTTCTCTCCTTCCTCGAATTTCCTAGTTATTGCTATTGTTATGATTATTACGGCCATCCTTTGTTTGCAGCTTCTCCCGTGTTTGCAATCAACTGCCAATATGCAGGAAAGAAAGCTGTCGGTCGGCAAGCTAGGTGTCGAGGGTTCTTTCTTTTCCCCAAGCTCTTTCGTCATCGATCTCCTCTGGGTATGATTCTAACCGCTTACAATCATGATTGTCCTAGCTTGGCCGGTCCAGTGCCTGAACCTGAATATCACAACCAACAAGTTATTAACAACCTGGATGCGCAATACCGCCGTTGTGGCTGGGGAGTACGCAATTGACCGCAACTGAGCACGTAGTATCGTCACGGATGTGCTAGGTTGCGCGATAAGGCTGCTGTTGTGTTCTTGTGGTCACGATGGGGCGCGGGAACAGGGCCGTCTACCTATTGTATTTACCTGACTGTTCAGCTCAATATGATGTCAAAGCCGCCCCTATCATGGCACGCGCACTGAATGCACTTGGAATGAATATTAGATGGCATTTCCAATCATGTCTTGTGTTTCCAGGCCCCAGGACTGACTGGCCCTGCCATAAGATTGCCTTGTACCATCATAATCAACAGGATGATATTAATACATACATGTACTCGGGGATCTCCTTGGGACAGGCAGGCAGACACATGCTGCACCGCAAATTGAGTGGAATGGTCTCATAAGAATCGGAGAGGACAAGTGTCCAGTATCACCTCACTGTTCAGCCTCAAGCAGGCAAAGCAAGCAAATGTTTCCTGATATGGACACACAAGCAACATTGGAAATGAGGCTCTATCTCATGTAGTTACTTATCTGTCTATCGCATATCTGCAAGGAGTTGCGCGAGTGATGGCCTATGATTTCCTTCTGTCAATTATCCTACTTCCCAAAACTCGCTTTGTGTAACATTCAGAGTAAAACCAGCGCTCTCTCTAGAGTACATACATGTAGTTACTCCCGTATCTTTATAGACGTGCAACAGTACGCCTAGTCGAGTCACCCAAGCGTCAAAATATATCGGACTGCACCTTGATCAATTCCTCAAACACTTCATGAATTTTGCGAAAGAATCAATTTTCAATTTTGCTTCTTTCCCAACATGGGCCCAACAACGCCGCGCCCAACACCCAAATGCGTACATACAATCAACCGACTTCGTACCACTAATATTCCCTCCCACCCAAACCCTAAAGCCAGAACAAAAAAGAAAACAATAAAAGAAAAATAAATCTTCCTTCTTACAATCCATCCTCCTCCTAAATATGCAGCTAGTTGATGAGAAAATGAGACCACGTGAGAGAAAAGGTCAAACAGACATCAAAACACGAATAGCTCAGCTCACCATAAACTGCTCAAGGTAGAAACTGTTCAGCTAGATATAGAATCAAGCGTACCAGTGTCCAAGAAGGAAAATCGTAAGAGAAAAGGTAAAATAAGTTTGCACAAGAAAGAAAGATACAAGAAAATGAACCCCCAGAAATTGATAATAGGAAAAGTGAAAAACAGCAACCAAGGAATCAGGAAACTTTTGTTCACCCACACCACCACGTTCAACAATCAATCCCCGAAACCCACAAAGACATGCCCCAAGGGAATAAAAGGAAAACAAAAAAACCAAGACAACCCATTTCTATTTCCGTTTCCAAGAGACGCCTTACTTTCAACATTGTTTACTCCTTAGCCGCATCACCCTCGGCCTTCTCGTTATCATTAGTGCTGGCGTTAGCTTCAGCGGGAGCGTCCTCCTCCTTGCGGGCCTTCACGTATTCATCATAAACACTAAGAGCCTCGTCAACCTTGGCACGAAGAGCAGGTTCATCATCAAGACTGCGAGAACGGTTAGCTATAAATACATTGGAAATCAGAATCAGGGGTAACAAACAGTGCAAGCAACTCCATGTTATCCATTTCCAACAACATTCCAGTGATCTTTCCGGCGAGATCGGGGTGCTGCTTTTGAATCTTGGGGTACAGCGCCTCTCCGAGCAACTGCTTCTGATCCTGGTGACTGCGAGAAGCGAACATGTTGACGTCAATTGAAGATACCTGGGGAAGAGCCGCCTGTGAAGCGGGGATTGGCTGGCGAACAGCCTGCTGAGGAGGAGCATTGGCGCGAGGAGCACCACGACCAGCAGAAGCAGGTCCACGGGGACTCATTCCCATAGGCATTCCCTGTGGAGGAACACCCTGCATGCCGGCAGGAGGAATTCCACCACGTCCACGACCAGTGGCGGAAACTTGCGCCTGAGGAGCCATGGCCTGAGGATTAGGGTAAGGAGGGAAACCAGGGCCGCCACCAGGAACCATGGTAGGAGGAGGGCCGTACATTCCCTGAGGAGGCATGCCCTGAGGCATGGGCTGAGGGCCACGACCACCATTAGGAGGGAAGTTACCACCTTGAGGACCCCTACCGCCCGGACCACCCTGTGGCATACCCTGTGGCATCATGCCGGGCTGAGGAGGGAATGGCATACCACGGCCACCACCGGGAGGAAGGAAACCAGGCTGCTGACCGGGTCCGTAGAACATTGGAGCGCTCATATATCCTGCAGTGGGTCCCATTCCAGCAGCGGCAGCCTGCTGCTGCATCCTGATGTGGTTTCTAGCCTGGATGCTAGCCTCAAGCTATATAGGTTATCAATAAAATGCTCGTAAGATAAGGAGACGCGTTCACAACATACCTGACTCTTCCTGACATCCTTCCTCTGGGCCAAAGCAACGTACAAAGGCTTACCATTCACCATTCTTTGGTTCATTTCGGTGACAGCCTTGCTAGCCTCCTCTGGGCTAGAGAAGCAAACGAACCCGAAACCCTTGCTCTTTCCGAGCCTCTTCTTCTTATCTTCACCTTCCTTCTCCTCAGCCTCTGCCTCCTCACGGGGAAGCTCATCACGCATAACCTTAGCGGAGGTGATAGTTCCGTAAGGGGTGAACTCCTGGCGGAGACGCTCATCATCAATGTCATCGTCAAGGTTCTTGATATACCTGTATACTTGTTAATACGGGAAATGCCTCGAACAGGAGGTACCTTGGACTTACAAGTTAACGCCCTGGTACTTGCTAGCCTTCTCCACGCGGGCAGCCTCGTACTGCTTCCTCAATTCCTCTTCGCGTTCATACTTCTTCTGAGCCCTCGAGACGTACAAAGTCTGACCCTTGAAGTCACTTTCATGAAGCTTCTCAACGGCCTCGTTCGCGTGACCATGCTCCTGGAAGTTAACAAACCCGAATCCCTTGCTGGCGCCAGTTTCCGGGTCCCTGGTGAGGCTTGCAGAGGTAATAGGCCCGAAAGCCTCGAACAAATCCCTGAACTCTTGGTCGGTGCACTCGAGATCAACGTTCTTAACATAAACGTTGGTGAAGTTGGCCTTCATCTCATCAAATTTACTGAGACGATCCTTCTTTGGGATGTGATGACCGACAAACACCTTCTTCTCGTTAAGCAACATGCCATTGACATGCTTGATGGCATTGTTAGCAGCCTCGGCAGTCTCGTAGTGCACAAACCCATATCCACGAGAATTACCGAATTCGTCCTGAGCGACCTTGCAAGAAAGAATGTTTCCGAAGGCAGCAAAGGTATCGTGAAGAGCCTTGTTGTCAATTGCGGTATCAAGGTTCTTGATGAAAACGTTGCCCTGGCCAGTCTTGCGAAGGGCAGGGTCACGCTGGGACCACATGATACGGCAAGGACGGCCCTTAATCAAAGTGTAATTGAGCTCTTCAAGAGCACGCTCACCATCGGCGGTGTTGTTGTAGTTGACGTATGAGTACCCGAGAGAGCGGCGGGTGACAGCGTCGCGGCAGACACGGATAGACGCAACGCTTCCGATGGAGGAGAAAAGCTCGAAGAGCATGGCCTCGGTAACAGAGGGGTCAAGTTCCCCAACGTAGAGGGAGGCGGAGGTGTGCCCGGCATGGGTGGTAGCGCTGGGAGCGGCGCTGGAAGAGCCATTGTTGTCGCTGTCAGAGGCAGGGTCGTTGGCCGGGGAAGAACCATTGACGGGCTGCTCAATCTGCTCCTGAGGAGGAGGGGTGATAGCGGTGGCTTCGGTAGACATTTTTATGTGATGCTATCTTGGATGTCAGCTTAAGAACGTGGGAGCAAGGAAATATATAAGTGGGAAAATAGCGTAACAAACATTTATAGTCTTGAAAAGTTTTTCTTTTTTCCGGATTTTTTTTTATATTTCCTTTGGTTCGATTCTGTTTGTAAAATACCAGCAGCAAGGCAGGATAGAAATAGTCAGCCAAAATGATCTCAGTCACTCTCAAAAATAGACCACAACGCTTGATTTTTGAGGCGAAACGTGCACAAGAAGCGAGATAAGCGGAATGGAGGGGCAAGGGGTGAGTGAGGTTATGAACGTGAAAAAAGAATCGTAAGATCGTGGAAACCCACCAACAAAGACGACCACTAGTAGTATTGGTGAACTGTAGCAGAACTGCTTTGTTTGTGCCTTGCAGGTGAGCGAAAGGAAAGAGGGTATAGATGGAGGAGGGGTGAAAATTGATGTGGTGGGGTAACTTTTCAAGCGTTCCAAGGACAAGCCTAGTAAAGGGAGCGAAAAGAAAAAAAAAATTTATTCGCGGGGGTGTGTGGTTGGATGAAATTTGTGAGCTAACAGAATGCGAACCAACCTTGGATGTATCGAGAGAAAAGGACCTTTTTTTGTTTTTAAAAATGCCAGGAAGGGTTTTCGGATTGTTTTCAAGTTTTTTTATGATTGGATTGGTTTTATGGGGAAAGAAGAACGGTGTCGTGGAGGTTGATCCAAGACGAAGTTGCGGAAGTTGATGAGCTCTGATGGGAGAAGGGGAAGGAGAAAGGAGAAGAGAAGAAGGGAGGAGGAAAATATTTTGAGGAGACGTGTGCGAGAGGGCAGGGCCCTGCACAGTAATTGAATGCAGCTTGCAAGGTGACGGAGAGGCGATGGCTGATACCATACTACGTAGCTTCTACTGCTGCTTCTGCTGTCTCTTCTTCTCTCCTGATGCCACTTCTTTTTCCACACAGTTCTTTACCTATTCGCTCAGTGCATACTATTCTAAATTACTCCCAAAGACCTGGCATACCTTCCCTTTGATTCTGCAGAGAATGGCTGCCGGTCCTCTTTCTTGCCTTTGATGGTTTGAATTTGCATACCTAGGTTCCCTTGGTTGGCTGATTGATGACTACGTGCGTAACCGACCGCTGACTGCTGCTGACTTGTGCAGCACCCACCCGTGCCGCCACCTCGTGGCAACCCCGAATGATTTCAGCCACACCGCACAGATGATCTGTCAAGGTCACAGACTCACAGTCACAAGGGGCACCTTGTAGCCCCTATTCCCCTTTTGATCAATCAAAAGGGCATTGTGCCTACACATATCGTGCCAGAAACAAGCTTTTTAATCAGATTGCTCTGTTATCTATGAGATGGACATCCAGGGCTGTATATTATTAAATCTAGTAATCACTTTCGTAGACTACTAGTGTCGCAAACCCACACGAATTCAAATGTTGAGGATAGAGAATCGTTGAGCATTCTTTAAGAAGCTTCAACAACGTGACAACACGTCATTCGGCATAGACACTGAACGGCCAGTTCAGACTGCGTTCACTTGGCACGCCTACGTGCAGGTTCGGCTATTTTCTCGGTTTGAAGGGGTGTTACAAGTGGCAGTTAACTACGGTTGATAACTCTGCCAGCGGCGACGAGATAAAAGTGCAGATCTTTTTCAAAGAGCACAAGCTCTCACTCGGAGTAAGCTGCACTTTTGTACTTTGTATATTTCCTTATTGAAATAGAAATCCGGTCACTTCCATAACCTCAAATAGTATAAATTACATGTAGTGCCCCACAAATTCAACATACTAAAAATACTATAATTGCAATGAATACAGTCCATATAATCATCTTGTTTGGTTAAGCGCGATCTTACTGAGCTGCAGGAGCTCGGATTTCGGGATCTGATAATCTACGAACTCTCATGCTTCATCATGGATCATCACGGAAGAAATTTATATAATTATGTAAAGCGAAGAAATAGGGAATTCAATGTTTATGTTCGAAGCTTAAGCAGTTGAACATAATAGAGCGTATTTACTAACCGTCAATTCTGACAATTGGCGCTTCGCCACTCTCCAAAGTGGCGTCCACAAGTGTCATTTTGCGGCTTGTGCATTTCATATCCTTATGAAGGGGAAGTTTCAATTTTGCATTTTACAACCGTCAATTTCGAAGTGTCAATTGTCAAAAATGACACTCAGTAAATACGCTCTAATATAACCTATTGGGATTAAATTTAGATTGGAGTTACATAATCGAATCAGCTCGGCTGGGCTACTTATACAACCTAAGTTTTTACTATTTATTAAATAGTACATAAGTATTATAGGAGACTGGGAAAAGGGGATGGGACTGAAAAAACAGGGAGTTGAGTTCCGAGTGATGGGTCATGACTGAACACATGCTCCATCGTCTGGATACATGTAGTATATGTTAAGCTATATGGACACATAGCCCTGGATTAATACATGTACTGTATGTGATAAGAGCAGCCATGCTGGTGGTATCAGGTACATAATACACTTATGATCGCGCGCGATCAACACATTACTATATGTATGTGGGAGTCTATGGATGAATAGTCTTGCACTGGGAGAAGCAGTTGGTTCGCCGTTCGACACACTACTTAATTCCTAGTATCTAAGTGCGTATTCAAAGCTGTACACACAGGCAATCACTCGTATGGATATTTATATTCACAGCCAAAAAATATTCCGGGCACCCAAAGGTAAATGAAGAGAAACGTGACCAGTCGTTATGATCAATAAATTTACTTTTGATTTAGTTCCAAACTTATCTTTACCATATACCGGCCCCAACTTAATCCTACACATGGCTCTGTCAATTTTATAGAAGAATATACAAGAGTTCCCACGCCCCGACAGAAGCCCAAACAAACCCCAAGAGATACCTACACGCCCGCTAGTTGTATGGGAATCTCCTCGTGTTCTTCTTAGATTGCCTCCTGCCATCAACAACAACGTTCGCTCTCGACTGGATAGCAGTCCTGTGCACTTGGTTTCTCTTGTCCCACGCGGCGCTCCTTCCCTCTACGACAGCAATGATCTCATCGGCAAACCTCTCCGCCAACCCACTCCTGTCCTGTTTCTTATCCGCAGCGGCCACAATCCATTCCAATGCCATCCTTCTCCTCTGCCTAATATTCAATGGGCTCGGAATCATATCCTTCGCTCCTCCTGCTCCCTTGACAGAGATAATCTTCATGAGCGGAGCGACAGAGTCAATGGCAGTTTGAAGATACAGAAGGGGGTCAGATGGGAGGGTCGAGAGAGGAGGTGTTCCTGGAATGAGGGGGGTGTATATGACAGATGGCTTGGGCGCGGGCTTAGTACGCAGGATGGAGAGGACATGGTCCATGACAGACTGCGCAGTTGCTTTCTAGGAGGTGTCAGCCGGGCCGCTAAAGAGGCGAAGGGGGGTGGCAACCTTTCCGTGTCGCATTAGGAAGTTGGTAACCTGTACCATCAGAGGGGAATAGCGATATTGCAAATGTCCCCGAGCGGGAATGGGGAGTGTCGGCAAAGGAAACTTGGCGCCGGGTGGAAGGGGCTCTTCGAGAGACATTGAGAGGATATTGGCGGGGACCTCGGGGCCGGCGCCAGCGTCAATGGGTGTGACCTCCGTAGAATATGATCTCTTGTTGGAGGGAGTCTTGAGTACTGAGGGAGCGTTCTTGCGGGCTTCAGCACTGCGGTTGATCATCTAGGCATGTTAGTACAGTTGTCGGTGCTGGCCAAAACAAGAGATCGAAGCACATACCTCTTGAATAGGTGTGCCTTGCTCAAGCTCAGGCTTTGTCTCTCCGGTAATACCGGCAGTAGCGGCGGCCTCCTCGCTGACATGCGGAAGGGCATCTTGGGCAGGCGTTGCGGGGGTCTTTGGTGGGGTCGATTGTGGGGAAGTTTTGTTTGAATAGCACCGTAGGAGCGCTGGCTGGTGGATTGGGCGAGTGGCAATCCGGAGTGTGGATGTTCGGAGGAAGAGAGCGCGTGGTGGCGGCATTGTGAATTGGTGAATTGGTGTTGGTGAGGTTGAAGTTGGTGATGGAGGTTGGAAACTTGTACTAGTGGTGGGGCAGGGAAGACGTGAGTTAAAACCTGCAGGGTGACGAGAGAAGGAACATGTATGCACAGTCTACATATGGCGATAACTTTATAATATCAGGCGTGGGAAGAGTCGGTGAATTTATTTTATTCAACTAATACGCGTGAGAATAACTGGAGTTGATTTTTGCGAAGTTTTGCACTCGATTATAAGAAGCGCTGCGCCACAGAGGTATTTGTATTTACTCTTTAACGACTGGTATCACAAGTACCTACCTCATGCACTGTGGGATTATCCCGAGAGGATTGTCTTGAGGAGGGATACAGGATCTAATCCCTGAGACTCTAAACTTGGATATGGTCATTGTTTCTGGTGATACCGTACATAATGGCCTCATCTTATAAATCAAACGCCACAGCCATATTTGCGGGCGCCACACAAGCACTGATAAGCTAAGCTTTGGGTTTCTCTGGAGTAGTTCAGCGTTTCCCTTGCTCTTTCTATCATCTTCTCTATCTCTTCCTTCCTTTAAATTTAACCTCATCATCTCCATCGACACCCTTGTAGTTTCTTTCACCCCGACTTTCGATCCTTCTATCTGGTCCGGCCCTATCATCTTCTCGTCTATCACCGCCCCCCCCCCCCCCCCCCCCCCCAGATGCTCTCTTACAACCACTGCCGCCGCCATCATCCTAGCTTCTAACTACTTCTAAACCCTTCAACTCCGTCTGTTACTCCTACCTCGGTGGACTATCTTCTCTGAACTATCTCAGCTCTCCCGCACAATAGCTCTATCGTTACACACATATCCAGAAGTTACCCCACACTCACCCCGCAATGTTCACCTTTAACGGGTCTTCCCGCAAACCCCGCGTTGTCAACCTCTCGGGACGTAAATCCACTGTGCCGCCTCGTGGTTCCAAACCCTTACAATCAGCATCCCTCGCCAATGCTCAAAAGGAGCGCGCCGAGAGAGAAGCCGAGCGTCGCCAACTCAAAGCTGCTTCCAACATCCAGCGGGTCTGGAGAGGCCGGAGAGTTGTTGGCATCCAGAGGGCCCAGTGGAGACGGGAGTGGGACGAGGAGTTTGGCGGGGAAACCAAGGGCAGTTGGATCAAGGGTATCGCCTTATTTATAGCCTTCAACCAGAGAGGTTTTGGAGTGCGAAGGGACCCTAAGGACAGAATAGATGAAGTGGGGTTTGGCGAAAGAAGAGGTGGGTCGATAAAAGTTGCGAAGGGATGCCGTGAGCGAATACAGGATCCTCACGATTTTGAGAGAATCAAGGTTCTGGTATCCCTGGTCATGGACGCTATCAAGAATGGAGATAATATGGTAGGCGAAGATCCGAAGCGATCACGGTACCTGTTGGGCCAGTTTGCCAAATTACTTGTTGAAACTCTATATGACGATCCCGAAATGGCCGATCTGCCCGGCAAAGCTATGAATGATGACTCTTTGAGGAATTACTCTCTGAGACTGCTTCCATGGCTGGCGGAGAGACTGCCGACGCTTGTCGATGCAAAATACTACCAGGCCCTCTCTCGAGTCACGACTGCCTGCGAGGCTGACTTGGAAGCGCTTTTGAGGGCTGTATTGACGCCATTACGCTCGAAAAACGAGCGCACTGCATGGTCTTATACGGCCTTTGCTGCAAACTATCTCACTACCCCCGGGCTTCCGGAACGCCTGGGAGTTAAAGGGTTCTGTATGCTACGGGAAGGAGTGGATATAGAGAAGCTCTTCAAAGCTATAGAAGCTACGCCGGGCGCTTGGCTAGGTGCAGAGGTGGAAGAGCGATTATGGCTTTTGGCATACATAATCGATTTCCTGTTTGCTTCATCGTCACGAAAAACGATCATTGACCTCACAGGAGATGACCCCTTGAGGTTCAATAGAGACGTGGAGCAACAAAGAGTTTTGTCACTATTACTTGCTTCAGTTTCTGCAGAAGCCAGCAAGAGAATTGATATCGAGGATGTGCCAATGGGCCAAGAAGAGGAAGAGGATTCAGATGAAGAGGATTCAACCGATATAAAATCCCGCTCCAACAAGAAACAACCGTTACCACCGTTTGTCAAGTCTCGATTGGAAGGACTGGTACAGCAATCATCTGTTTCAACCGTTTTTTCACAAACAAAATACACTGATTTCAATGATGCTAAAGTATTTGCCGGGTTTACTCTCACCCTGCTATTGGTATTTCCCCGTAAGAGCCAGGACGTTCGCATGTGGCTCTGCCTAGCCGAAACCAGTGACGGTGCATCTGCTGTGCGATTTCTCTGGGAAGCTGTGAGAAGAACAAGCCTTTACTCGGGGATCAGCCGAGATTACAAAGTTGCCGTAGAAAGCCTCAAAAAACGCAATAATTCCGAGGATTCAGCGCAGACTGATGATGATGAAGAGTGGAATTTGATTCTTCTTTTTGTCGAACTATACGGATTCCTGCTCATGGTTATGGACGATGACGAGTTTTTCGCCGGCAGAGGAATCAAAGATAGGCAGCTACCGCTGAAGGAGGTGGGAGAAATGAGCGTATTTCTTAAAAGTATGACATTCGCGATGTATTGGGCAGGTGGAGAGATAATAGGTGAAGATAAATCGAAAACAAGTGGTGGAGAAATCTACTTTAAAGATCAAAATAGCAAGGGGTGGAGCGTAGATTATTTAAGGGCACAGGCGACTACATTGCTAAAGCAACTTTATACTAGAGAGTATGTTCACTTCCAAATTCTTAAGGCTTTATTAACTGGTGTAGTTCTCGACGAAGTTTTCTCCCTAAAGGCCACTGGCTCATGACCAATCATTTCGATATGGAAGGATTCATCCCTTCAGTGGTTCAAGAAGAAGAAAACAGACACCAAATGGAAGCCGATGGCGAAGATGTTGAAGAAGAGGACGAGCGCGAACTTGACCCCGCTGCTCTAGCTGCGATGAATCCGATTGAGCGGCGTAATCTTCGATGGGAGCGAAGAAAAAGGTCCCAGCGTAAAAAGCAAAGAAATAACTACCTGGCTGCCATTGCTCCCCGCTTGGAAATTCTTAAGAATCTACCTTTCTTCATTCCGTTTGCAACTCGCGTTCAGATATTCCGCCAATTCGTCTCTGTGGATCAGAAAAGACGCCGCGGAGGGTTTGTTGATCCGGATCAATGGCGAGCGGCGGTTCTGTCACGGTCTAGACGTGGTACAATGCCGAGACATGATGAAGCCCTGGACGGCCACGACATGCTTTCCAGACATCATGCCACGATCCGTAGAAACAGGGTATTTGAAGATGCATACAAACAGTTTTGGCCTTTGGGCGAGAGACTTAAAGAGCCAATACAAATCACATTTGTAGATCAATTCGGGACTGAGGAGGCAGGAATTGACGGTGGCGGCGTTACGAAAGAATTCTTAACCGGCGTCTGTGGAGAGGCCTTTACACCTGCTGCTGCCGGCGATAGAAATGCTGATGATGTCGATGACGATGATGATGACGACCACTTAGAACCCGGAGAACCGGATGGTTCCTCCGGCTATTCAATTCGTCCGAAGCTGGGGAAGAACTTGTTTCTGGAAAATGAACAGCATTTGTTATATCCCAATCCAACCAGTATCGAAGTACTGAAAGAGGAGCTATCGACAATTAATTATCCAGATCTCGACAAAGGCGTCAGACGCCTCCTCCGCCGCTACGAATTTCTCGGCCGTGTGGTGGGGAAATGTTTATATGAAGGAATCCTCGTCGATGTTGCTTTCGCTGGGTTTTTTCTTCTTCGGTGGTCCCAACAAGCTAGCGCCACCGCTAGCGTTGGGGTCAATGATCTCCGAGATCTCGACGAGGATCTCTACCGTGGTCTTGTCAATCTGAAGAACTACAATGGGGACGTCGAAGCAGATTTCGCCCTCAATTTCACTATAACTTCAAGACTACCCAGCCAGAAGACTATCACAATAGAGCTAAAACCAGGCGGCGAAAAGATCCCAGTTACAAACACAAATAAATTAGAATACATCCATCTAGTCTCCCGCTACCGTCTCTCTGGACAAGCGTATGAACAAACTGCCGCGTTCCTGAAGGGCCTCAACTCAATCATCCAGCCCTCATGGCTCTCCATGTTCAACCAGAGCGAACTTCAGACGCTCGTCGGAGGCGATATAAACACCCCCATTGACGTAGAAGACCTACGCAGAAACACAATCTACGGCGGCGTATATCAGGTTGGGGACGACGGGAAAGAGCACCCAAGCGTGCAGCTATTCTGGGAAGTTATGAGGGAACTTGACGACCCCGAGAGGAGAAAAGTTCTCAAGTTTGTGACAAGTGTTGCGAGAGCCCCGCTGCTGGGCTTTGGTATCCTGAGACCCAAATTTAGTATCAGAGACGCGGGAGAAGACCAGTCGAGGCTGTGTAGTGCCAGTAAGTCCCCCCTGTGAGATTCGGTGCTACCGTTGTTGACGATTGTTAGGTACGTGTGTGAATTTGCTGAAAATGCCGAGATATAAAGACTTCAAAATACTGAAGGAGAAGCTATTGTATTCGGTGAACTCCAATGCTGGTTTTGATTTGAGCTAAGGCTTGGGCGTAAGGCGGGAGTGCAAGGGTAGTTATATCTATATGAAATTGGAATCGGACAGCGGGTTGTCGTCGAGGGAAACGTGATAGAGAATGTCGCCTAATAGAAGCTTGGCTAGCGATGTAAGCTCTGCATCATTAGGCTCTGTTTGGAATGATTGTACTGGAGATCGAGATACCGTGGGCTGGGATTGGTAATTGGAGTTTTAATGGGTATTATTTCTCTTTTTTTTTATTCATAGCTAGTATCTCTATATAGTTAAGCAGCTTGTGAAAGCGATAACTCACTCACGCTGATGATGACAAGCGAATCATCCTTTGTTTCTCAAGTCCGCCGATGAGGGGGACCGGACCGGTATGAGTATGTGTATGTTTAGTTAAATAAGGGTCCCCATTAAATCGCGGCCTGGGGAAGGATAATACGGCGGTGGTCGCAGGAAGATGTAAGGCATGTCAAGGAACTCGCGTCGTAAAGCTTATCTACGGACACCTGCGAATGCCATTGGGCTCGACTTTCGTCCTCCTCGGCTCTAGAGAAACAAGGTTTCCCAAGGGCTGTTACTCAGTACGGCATTTTCACGATATGTCTCACCTACTTACTTGTAATTTCCGAATTTGGAGTAAAACAGTCAGCCCCAATTTCCGGTGGATGCAGCAGCCAATCACAATTCATCACTCGAATCACTCGAATCACTAAGCATTCCCCACGCAACGAACGTTACTGGTTTCCCAATTATTATTGTTGTCAACTTCATTAATTGTACAAACCACTGGTTCCCAATGGCCATGGCCCATGTTCGTTATCATATCCCAGCCTTCACATATACACCCCCCAATCATCCAAACCCAAAAGCTTAATTGACATAGCAAGTGCCAATAGTGCCACTCCCCGTCAGACACACAGACTACACCCCACAACACCACTATCAGCACGCATCCCCCCGCACACCCAGGATCAAGAATACTCACGCAGTCCACAATCGAGCAATACGACTGATACGGCGCACAGTAGTAGCAGTTCAGCCCCGAGTTGCCCCCCGACGGGTAGCACTGGAACGAGGATATCTGGTCATTGATTCCAATGGTCCTCAAGTCGGCCGATCCGGGGTTACTGATCTTCTCGAAGAACTGTCCCTGGCTGCAGCCGCTGTTGCGGAAGAGCAGGCAGGTGGTGCCCGAGTCGGGCCCGAAGGACGAGATCTTGTCGTTCCAGTCGCTGCCCATGTTGATGCAGGTGTAGAGGGGCTGTACGGCGTACCCGCAGTTGCCGCCCCAGTTGATGTCGTCGCAGAGGTAGATCTGGAGGGATTAGGGTTAGTTTCTTGAGATCATGGGGAGATGCGGGGGGATGCTGGGGAAGGTTGGTAGGAGGGGGGGGGACTTACACCACCGACGGTGCGCTTCGCGAGTGAGACGCCGGGTTCGGCCTCTGCGATGGCGTCTGGGAGGGCGGCGCTGGAGACGAGAGAGACGAAGGCGGTGAGAGCGGCAAGGGTGAACTTCATTTTGGCGGTTGGGGGATCTAACGGAGGTTTGATAGATTGAGATTGAAGATGAAGGGCCGTGTGAGCTTGCTGGGTGAGGAATTGATACTGTGGGGGGGAGGAAGCAGTAGGGTTTTTATATCCTCAGAAACCTCATGACGGCAGGTCTGATGCTTGGGTTTTTCCTTCAGCTGGTTTCTGCTTCTGACCTGCTGGATTGGATTTTGGTAGAGGGCGGTTTTTTTTTGCACTTTTGGCTAGGTTTGCTGGGAACCGGCAGCTCAGAGGGAGAGTAGAGTGTGTCGAATGGGCTGTATTCTGTACGGTGCTTGGTGATGTAACTACATGGAGAGTGTGTAACTACATTCTAGCTCTTATTACCCTGGAAGCATTGAGTAATTAGATACTCCCAACGTGCTCCAATGGCTCAATCGAACGGTCTGAAGAAGCTGCCTAGTACTAAAGTCGGCCGAAAGAGGAATGTCATTAACAAATCGGGCTGCTGAACACTGAACAACTGAACAACTGATCCGGCGCCCTGCCCGCAGTATCAACAACCTACTAATTTTTCCATGGCTACACAAAGCAGGCGATCCGCGCTGGGCCGGAACCCTAGCATAGCGGAGGCTCTTTAACTCCAAAAGAGAAAAGAGTTTGAGCCCCAAGCTTTTGCTTTCCCCCTTTTGAACACCGAGATCCCTGCGGCTTCGGCTCTGGTTTAGCCGGCGCTGGAGAACTTAAGCTTGAGAACGGGAGATGCTGTGCTTCGGGTCTGCGGCATCCATGGTGAGGTTGCTTCGTGAGCGGAATATTGGGCTGGTGGTCATGCGGTGGTGATGGTGGTTATAGTACTGGTGATGGTTGATCGACTGTCAATAGGCGCTGGTAGTATGGTTGAGCTTACATTAATGACTGGTCGAAGCTGACAACTTGAGATTAAATGATTACTGTCTCGGGAGAGTGACATTGAAAGGTTCCTGCGCCTACATTTCGATAGAGACAGTGCTTCTACGATTGCTGCTTTCGGCACTTGAAGCGAGAGGTCAGTAAATTGCTCTATTCATAACTTGTGCTCTACCGGGCCAGATTTGATTTAGGTACTGCGTGTAGGCTGGTGCCTAAGTATCAATACGAGCAGCAAGCTACATACTTAGCTAACTCAGCTGGTACATTCATGAAGTGAAGTTACAGGTACTTCCCAGATCCACAAAGTATGTAATTTCGTTACATGATTCAATCCTAGCTTATCGATAACGTTTTAGACCGGGTACCGTGTCAGACCTAGAAGAGTGTCAATCCCACACAAATTTGTATGGGGATTTCCACGGTGAAGGCCACCTCCACCACCAGTCGAGACACTTACTACCAAATTTTTAAGAAATGAATTTCATTTAAAAATACATACATTTGAATAGTTTCCGGATTAACTATCCTCTATTATGGTGATTGTAGAGTCTTCGTTTTTCGAAGGCTTTATGTCTAGTTTCAGTGCCGTTGCCATGCGACACACTTCTAGGTCTGACACAGTACTGGGTCGAAAACGTTAGACCCCTACAAGCTTTAAGGCGTTCCGAAGAGGGCTATCCTGATTGGGGTGCACGGGAGTCGGTGGAGCCATGGCCCATAAACTCATCCCTGGGAAGCATGATGACTACGCTACATGTAGGTACATGTAGGTACTTGGTACTCGAGAGAGCTGCTACATGGGGACTGGAGACATCTACCTGCTCATTGCCTGCATAACTGCCTTTTTGGGGAAAAGGTATGTACTGAAAGTCATCACTCAACCTTCACACTCTACGTAGTAATATTTGTCAACACTCACTTTGGCTGACATCTAGCCTGAGTACCCGCATACGTAGATGTAGGTACCTCTCGTTACCGCTATACAAATGGAGGTACATGTGCTTACTCGTGTCTCAAAAAAGGTTAAATCGTCTCTATCCTTCAATCTTCCGGTACGTAGTACAGACTGTTTTGCAACGCTCGTATATATGCCGTCAGCTTATTGAGCGAATCAATATGAGAGTGTTAGTTATGAAATAGCTCATGGGTAAAGTTGGGGCAGATTAGTCAAATGTGAGTTGCTTATGTTATGTTTACTGGATAGATTGAGCTGGTCAGGCAAAAGACATCGAAATCAAACCTTTGGCGCACAGAACGTTGTATTTGACAGTATACAACCCCGGCTTCATGCATTATCATGTAGCCCTCTTGCATGAGCTTAAGCTCTAGACAGCCCTAAATGAAGTCTGTACCACGGAAATGGGACTTCGACAGTACATGTATTTACAAAAACTGGCATTTCTTCCCTATCTTCCACTTGTCCAATTGCCGAATTTACTCATAGAGTCTGCGTTCTTCCGCTCTCTTACCCCGCTTGCTCTTCAACTAATCTGTCCTGTCTTCTTCTTCTCTTCCAAGTCTCCACTTCCCCCTCCTTGTAGGCGGATGAAATTCTTCACGTCACACGTCGTCGCTTCTCACTCTCTTCCTTTCCAGACCACACAGTTGATCAACGACATCGCCTCTACCCTCCCTCACATATACCTTAGGAGAAGAAGTCCCGTGAGGTATATGTGGTAGTTGGTATTGTAAGGCCGCTGGGTTTTTGGCTTCTACATACTATCTCACCCCTCCTGCTCTTTATTCTCGTTTTTCGTCAATTTTATCTGGGTAAAGCCATCGAAGGACTGCATAACGATTACAGTTAGACAGAAACAGGAAAGAGGACACGAGAAGTCATACCAAGACTAAGATTCGACTCTCCATCAACCTCTTGACACGATTCTTGAATGCCCTTCTTATCTCTCGATATATGCAAGATGTCTCCCGCTTGCTGAATAGCAAGTTCAGTCGCATGGGCTCCCGTCTCGATACCCCTCGACATATTTTCCGCTCCCCGTTGAATGCTTTGTATCGCAAGGTTTGTTTCATACGCAATCCTCTGCAAGAACGTCCTTTTACTAAGTCAGCACACAGATACTACGCCTGGCTTTGTCGGCTTGACTCACATATCCGGCTTCACAGCAGCCTGGAATACTCTCGTCTGCTTCTCTATCCACCTAGTGAGCTGGAAGGTTTCCTCCTGCGAAATCGGCCATTTCGGCTTCCTGAAGATCGCCCTCAACCCCCGGGCAGGCTTAAGTCTGTTCAAGGTCCTCTCTAGTGCCTTCCCACACCCCAGGAATGGCCCATGCGAGTTATGAAGTAGCGCAAACGCCTTAGACTTGGGGCTCCTACTAGCAAAGTCTTTTAGGTTCTCAAGCGCTGTTTTGAAGCCTTCGAGCGCCTTGGTGAAGGATTCGAGAGCATCTTTGATGGTCCGAAGGTGCTGTGGGGTTCTGGCCCTCTCAATGTATATCTTACTCATCTTGACAAGCTTAGCGACAAGACTGATGATACTAAGGATGCTGGCCACAAGGCCAATGATTGACGCGGGATCCATGGTGCTGGGTACCCGCAAGGGGTTTGAACATCAAGTCCCGCCAGTAACCAGTCGATCCAGTATGGAGCGACAAGTTATGGTCAAGGCTGCGACACCTAGCTATATAGTAGCGGACTGTAGTAGCCCTTCAGTACCTCGCTTGTCGAGTCTCTTATTCCCGAGCCTCTAATGATTCGTGATCGTGGACATGTTTCCCACCCATGTACTCCGGTGGTGTGAGTTGTGCTTCAAGCCAGCTACACAGCCATCAGCATGCTCGAGAGTGCTCCGATAGAAATATTCTTTCTAATTGGCTGCTAAACCTCCACACAATCGCTGCCTTTCCACTACCGCGGAGCTAGCTGGTGTACTCGTAGTTTTTGGACGTTTCCGGACGCGACCACTATTGCATGCCATACAAAAGATAGCATTGGCGGGTTTTTTCTGTGTATGCAATAGCAGTTGCGTCCGGAAACGCTGTGAAATTGCGAGTAGATACGCAAAAACCGCACTTTGCAAAGGGGCTTTTAGCACTTCCGAGGTGGATACATAGATACAAGTATGTTTAGTGGATTGACCTTCAGCCAAACGAGAGCGGCTGCATACCTACATACATATACAGCAGCCACCACTTAATTGCGAGACTCCACTCTGTAGCATAGCCTTTGATCACGAACTGGTGTGTACGTGCAAATTTACAAATCTCATAAAACAAAAAAAATCCTTATGACATGGGTCGATCGATTCCTCTTCTTATCATTCTCGTTACCCGAGGGAGGGAGGCAGACGGCCGGCCATATATTAAGTCCAGCAATAGATTTGGTGAGTAATCAACCATCCGGGAAGTAACAACTATGGAGTCATGGGTTATCACTCGCATAGCTAGTCGCTGGCAGGGTTGCGGTGTTTATTCATCAAGTATAGAAACAACCTTGTGGTTGTTATTATTACGGTATGGATTGGTAGTGCTGTGCATTATGACGCGTGTACATGTTCGTTTATGTCCCATGAAGCTTAAGTCCTGGGCTATAGGGTGGGAGAACAATGAGGCGAATTTGAGACTTCATGAAGCCGTGGTGCAGAATCCTATATATAAAGCTTATTTCCAACTTCCGCTCGATTTTCTACATAGCTGATTTTGTAATCAATAATAATCAACAGTCATAACTTATTGATAAGCCAGCATGCGAAATCCACTTCGAAGTTCTGCCCTGCGATTGTATTTAACAAACACCTTCTTTTTTAAAATGATTATTGCACACAAAAACACCATGATTTGACACTGATTTTTTACAATTCCAAAACGGGATATCTAATCATACAGACGTAAGTAACCCTAACTCGGTTTATCGTATTTGAACTTTCCAGTGTCATCCGATATTTCCCCCTCATTTGGCGCTGATAGTTATCTTACAGTCCTCCTCTCAATAGCCACGGGCTTTTGCTGAGGCCTCAGTTTGAAATCCGCAAGATCGTTGATAACAGCCCCACAGTCAGAGTTCTCCACCCACTTCAACCAGTCGTTCCACGGGTTCCTATCCCAGGTGCCCCTAAGCTTCTCGGATTTCTCCATCTCCTGCTGGTTGCCGACCACATAGACTCCATTTCTCGCACGTGTCATTGCAACCACGAATTTACCATGGTCTGCGTACTCTTCGTATGAGTTCTTCCACAGGGGTACGTGTATGATAGCATAATCAGCTTCATTATTAGCGAAAGCTTCAACCGTTGAGACTTCAATCTGCGCGCGGAGGGGCCTTTCGAATTTGCGCCTATGGATTAGCTCGGCCTCCATGAGCACTGCTTGAGATTTGCAGTAGGTAAGAAGGATAAGGGAGGCGTTTGGTGAAAATTGGACGATGCTGCTCAGCACACAAAATACAAGATTTTTCTCCCGGTTGTACGTCTCAAGCTCCATTAGCTCTTGATCATACCTGGCAAAGTTATATTTGGGCCAGCAGATACTCGCAGTATTGAAAAAACCCATGCACAGCTCGGGACCGACCAGACGAGGAAACGGAAAATTGAGTGCCGTGGTGATGGCGCCCCCGAAGTAGACATCGTTGATTGGTTGGTATAAGTCCTCCCTACAGCGCATTTGCCTGGTGAGACGAAGGGGATTTAGACGGAATTCGGGGTGTCTGAGGAGACGTTTGAACCATGAGTTGCATATCTCCATTTGCCTAAAGTCTTCAATCAAGTATATCGGCTCAATACCCTTTGAACAGCCCATGACTAACCAACGAAACGAGTTTGAGAAAGGTAGTCTACTGAGCCTGAGTGCAAGGCCCTCATCAATCGTATTGGCGTCCTCTATGACAATGAGATCGAAAACCTGCCTCGAAATTCCGCATCCTTTATAGCAGTTGAGTGCTGTCTCCGTCGTCATGAAAATGGCATTTGTCGCGGCGATCCTATCCTTTTTCCTTCGCGAATTTTTAGCTGACAAAGGATGAATGCCAACGCTGACCCTCTTGAGGATGCCCATCCCAGCCCAGGTAGGCGGTTCACGACTCCACGACTCAGGATGTGAGTATACTCTTACAATATTCCTAGCGAACCAGCTATCCTCTCTTGGTAGAGCACCTAAAACAGTGGCTGCCGAAAAATCCATGGCCGTCTCGCTGGTCGCCATTACAAGGACTTTCTTTCCCTGTTGAATGAAATCAGAAATGATTTTTGTAGCCAATGTAGACTTTCCAGCTCCCGGAGCTCCATCTACGAGGGTGAAATCGTACTTTATAACGTGTCTATAGGCATCAGCCTGTTCGGGCTGAAGATCACTGCAAGATGGTGTGGTATTGAACCTTTGATAAACAGTCACCGGAAGTAGCCGGCCAAGCCGATGGCCTAAGAAAATTTGTTGGATGGCTATGAATTCAGAAGGGTCGAAGCTGGGGGAACAACCCTCCGCAAAGTCAAGAGTCGAAAGAATTGTTTGATCCAACTGAGAAGTTTCAGGGATAATCATGACGTTAACCTTTGAAGGTTCGAGTTTCGAAAGATGCGCCGGACATAACAACTTCAGACACCAATAATTCTTCCCTTCAGTACCGCCCAACCATTCAGTCATTTTTGATCCCCTAATAAGACTCATATAGTAGTCTTTACGGGCTTTGGCGGGGAGCAACGGCTCCCGAAGTATCCTTATCGAATGATCTTGCACATCCATCTCTACCGACCCATGAGCGGAATCCCCAGAGTAGATTACGCGGGCCTGCCACTGTATTCTTTTATACTCGAGGATTTTACATCCATAGATTTTACTGTAAGGAATAAAAATCTCCCAAATGAATGGATCCTTGACGCTTCCGTCCCCATGGAGATGACACTCGAGGTCTTCCAAGGCCCTTTCTTTAAATAGTGCTGTCAATTGAGCAATCAGCTGAGACCGTTTGTACGCCAGAGACGCCGAGATCAATTTAAAGTTCTTCGGGCTTTTTATAGATGTAGCCGTTGCCCAATCATTTCGTTTAATTGTATCAAGACTCTCCAAAGGGAGCGAAATACTCCGATGGAAGAGGGCTTCATTGAGGTATTCTTTCGCTGCTTTATAACTTTGGTTAGAACTGTCGAAAATACAAAATCTATGTTCCCCAGTGAGAGGATATGTAACTTACGTTGACGACCGAATGCCACACTCCAATGATTGAAGAAACCTGTTTTGTCCTTTTCGTTCTTAAAATAAAACTCCAACGAAGGATATAAATCCTCGTTCCTATCTTCTAAATCAACCAAGGCGTTGTAGAAACCACTGGAAACATTGGCAGCTAGCGATTCTTGGCCACTGGGACACTGCCTTTTGTAAAACCCTAACATTTTGCCTTCTACACCCTTCTGACGCTGAAGGGTGATGTAACGGCGCGCTTCATCGCAGACAGGAATGAAGAATGAAGAGGATATAACAACTTTTTCTGGAGGATTCTCGTCTTTGCTGCCCGAATCTGTGGTTACGGTATGATTGTCGTAGAAGAGTACATGGATTTCGAGAGTTAAAGGGTCGAAAAGTGCGCATACTCGAACGAAATTGCGGTCGTTCGAAGAAGGGAAGATTTTTGCGTTTTCTCCATAAATCGGAATGACCTTAACGGCGTAAAGATGGCGTTGGGTGTGCGGGTAGGTTGGATCAAAGGAGGACTTTCTCTGCCCCACAGCATAGGAACCCATGTTTTGGACCAAGAACTATCTAACCAAATTTTCCAAAAGATCCAGTATTTACTCTTTCAATAGACTTTCCTCCCTATGTTATCTAACGGGCTTAAACATTAGTAAGTTGATGATAAATTTTAAAGAAGAGATGAACCCCAAGGGAGGAACCAATCTTCGGAATGATAGATTGCGGGTAGAAAACATACTGCAGCCGATGAAAAAGCAGGCCAGTTGAGTGCCAAAAATCCAAATTTCTCTCAAAATCGCGGAAACAGCAATGGAAACTGCCAAGAGGATGCGAATAGATTGATTTACAGCCAATTTGAAGAAAGGATCGGGTTACGGTGACTTTTGTGATGAACTGATGGATAATTCGTGATGGAAAAGGGTGGAGGAGGTGGTGGTGGTGGCGGATGGTGGTGAGTGGTGAGTGGTGGGGTTATCGTAAGGACTTGACGCTAGAGGTACTGTCTCGAGGCATTTCTCCGAAGTTGCTCCGCAAAACTATAGTTCTTTGAGATTGGAGAGCCCCAAGTTTACTCCAGGATCCCACTAAACCATCTTTTATCTCGAAACCATCCCAGAGAAATAATCCTTTGAGCCAAGAATTCCCGGCCCCCTCCCTCGTGGCTTCCCAGCCATCTACTCTGAAGTCAATATGAAGAGAGAACCTAGCAACCTGACTACATGTATTACCAGGCTTGTGAAGCTCTGCGACGTTATGGATAGGTGGCTTCTTATCCATTAGGTGCGTGATTCGAGGTGGTATATTTGTTGCCTGCCTACAGAATGTGGGGATAGTGACCTTTGATGCCTGTACCCATCTCTCCAAGGGCAGAGAAATTAGATCTAAGAATAAGAAATTAGGTTGGGAGCTAAGACAAGAGCATCTTTGTGCTTGCAGATGGGGATGCGCAGAATCTTTCTTATCTCACCACCAGGCTCGTTGGCCTTCGAAATGACCCTCCGATACTAATTAATCAACTTCAATCATTCTATTAACGATATATATCCTTTGAGAATGTCTAGATGAATAAAAATGCGGATCATAATTCACGATAGATAAATACCAGGCACATTTGATTTGCGTCATGACATCTCGTTCGTCATCCGAGTGATAGGACATGACAGTATAGTTAGGCCAAGCTCGGTATGTATCCTGATCCTTTACCGGCCTTAGCTGCATTGTCATACCACAGTTTGAAACTTATCCCGAGATCGAGGGGAAGCAACTTACGTGTAAGACGAGTCTCCCGCTAACTCAAATCTCTCTCGTTAGACATGCGCCTAGCTATAGCCCTCTCACTAGTTAGGTTGACCCCCTCAATAAAACTATATCTCCCAATGAAAAGCGCTGGCTAATATAATTTTAGCACCTACTTCTGATGTTTCTAGGATGAAAACGAACTCACAAAATCTACGTCTATCGACAGCGATTCTTATGGCCAACACGGCATTTCCTTCGAGGTGTTATAGACTATAAGGGTGTACTTCGAGGGAATCACAGTAGGAGCGGGCGCTTTTACCGGAGGCGTGACTGATCGGCGGGAAATTACGTTCTCAGGGACAGCCGGGATTTATATTTAATTCCTCTGCCTCATCATCAGCTCGTGCTAGCTTTGGTAGCACATGAAACTACACATTCTTCTCTCTCTCTCGGAATTTAAGGACTTCAGGATTTCTCCCCGACTGATCGTATATATCGGGCAAAAGTACAATACCTGCTATCGGTACTGTAGGCCATCTCGAAGGCCTGGCAGCAGCGGTTATAAGGCCAGTAATTCAGAAGCTGGTTGCGATTTTTCTCCCACACACTGGCTGTAAGTATTTACCTAACACAGGTAACTCGCTAAACCTTCCCATTACTCGAGCTATTTTTAGTCTCATCTCTTTCTCCTAGAAAATTCATATCTCTGACCACCTTCCTAGACCATCCAACGGGTATTACCAAAGAATGAATATTCTTCTAACGTTGATATATATGTTTCATCTCGATTAAAGGTATGTCTTCTTGTTTCAATTTAATGTTTATGTTGGAATTAGGATCGATAATAAACTCGTAGTTTCTATAGTTTATCCATAACTACGTCGATCAGAATTAGGCTAAGCGCCTAAAGCAAGCATCATATTTTTTTCGCTCCAGCAAAGTAAGCCATACTTTACAGAGGGTAGAGTTAAAATACCCCGAGGTATGATCTTTGCTCGCCTCCGGCGATATCGAGCTCATGAATCAAGCCCATCTGAACGATACAATGCTCATTATTGAGATCATGGAGAATTCGGTATGGGGCGGTAAATGTATCAAAAGTAATTTTACCAACGGTAGTAAATTATTTTACCACCGGTGGTGAAAATAATACCAGTATTTATACCCTATAATGCTAATTTTTATGATAAAAGCACAGACCTTTTGGCCAAAAGGGGCCATATAATGCCAATATATATGAAAATTGTCCACCGTGGGGAATCTCACCATCGGTGGCGGTATTTCACCACCAGTGGGAAATTTTCATAAGTTTTGGCATTAATGATTGAACATTTACTTATTTAGTATAGCGCAGCATAAAGACCGAAACTCAGTGTTTATACCGGTGGAAATGTACTAATGTAGGATAGCGTGCAGATACAATGACTGAAATTCAGTGCTTATACCACAGGTGGTAAATAATTTACTACCGTTGGTAAAATTACTTTTGACACATTTACCGCTCCATAATTCGGCGGCTAAAGTATCAGGTCTACCGGCAAAAGCTTACGCAACTCAGACAATCCGCTGCTATTGCAATGTTCCGAAAATGCGGATTGATAGATTCCGCATCTTCAACCAGGTGATCGATACTGACTGACGATGTCTGTGTTCCATCGGCTCGCCCGGCTGAAGGAGAAGAACCCTGTCGAGATCCTTGGAGAGAAAGGCTTAAGTTGAGCCAAACTCTTTTGAGCGAGATCCTGGTACATGGACTGGGAGGCGTACTTTGTGCCATGATAGAAGCATTTGATTCCTCGGTTCAATTCTGGTTGGTTGTCGAGTGACAGTTAGTGATTGGTGTATTGATTCTGGTAACTAGTATAATAGTACAAGTGCAACCCAGTATTATTGAGGCACCAGAGAATCTAGGAGGCACTGAATAAAAAAGCCTTTCGCTCTGTTGGTGAGATATATTTCAATACTTGTTGAGAAAATACCGGCAGCACCAACAACCCTTTTAGCATTTAGATCTTCGTGGGCATCATCACATTAATAACAACCAGTAAAGATCGGCCGGGTTTGGTGCCTTCTATTCCGCTTCTTCGGACGAAAAAATCCGATCGGCGAGTTCAACAAAGGAGCATCATTACTGTGACTATCCGACAGTTAAGGATTATAAAGACGGCTACTTTAATCTTCAAGCATCATTACAGGCGTGGTAGCACTTTACACTTTACTTGAAAGCTCGAGGTTCGGCCAGTACTGCGGATGAACAGGGGAAATGGCAGGGATCTCCCTAATAATCCCAGCACTGGCCCAAGTTCGGACCACGGCAACATGCCATTCTGCTTCCACTTCAATCTTCCATCCGAAAGCGTGCTAGCTTGGTAATAGTTGTTACTCTATCTGATACCAAACAAGCTGTTATAACGTACGGATTATGTAGCCCCGACAACCCGATGACCAGATTAGAAGAAGCTTGAACTCGCGCGGTGAGCAATTTCTTCACGGAAAGCACATTATCCCAGAGATCTCGGAGCCGGTAGAATTGGTTGGCGCAGGTATTGTATATACGTACCAGTGGTTCTTGACCCCACACTGATCTGGGGTACAGAATACTCCGAAAAGACGGACTTGACGGGCCATTGATATACCTACGTAAGTCTTCTGTGGGGAACCTTGGTCGGTAACTTCCGAATTTTGGCTAAATCCCATGTGTGCTTCTGTCTCCTGAACATGGTTTCGTAGCTAACAACAATCTAGCTGTAAAAAATAGATTGCTTGTTCGGGATATGTGTGTAGTAGCAGAAGTACTGAACAATTAATTATACTACCATCAGACTACCAACCTCGGGCTTCTGCAGTGGTAGTTAACGCTTTGTTTCAGGCCGTTTAATCTCTAACTACATTTTATCTGTGCACTCATGCTGAGCTCTTTGATATAAATTCGGGGCTTCCCTCCAACTACGTTTTGATTCTCCAACCCGCATAGCATTTCCCCAAAGAAAATTGGTTGTTGATCACCACCATGCTGTTCTCTACATTCTTTGCTACCGCTCTGTTGGGCGTGTCTTCGCTCATTTCCTCTGTCGCTGCACAAACTCCTGGAGCTTGCTCCGGAGACTGCAATGTCCACGATCCTGCCTTGATCAGGCGTACCTCCGATGGCAAATACTTCCGTTTCTCTACAGGAAACAAGATCACCATTGCTACCGCTTCCGCGTTGGCTGGACCATGGACCAACCAGGGAAGCGCTATAACAGACGGTTCAAGCATTGCCCTCACCGGAAACGATGACCTCTGGGTAAGAAACACCAACTGAAAAGACAGAGGATACAAAACTAATTCTAACATGATCAAACAGGCACCCGATATCCAAAAGGTTGGAGACTACTACTATCTGTACTACTCCGTCTCGACCTTTGGCTCCCAGGCATCCGCCATCGGTGTCGCCCGCTCCACCACCATGGAGGTAGGCTCCTGGACCGACCTTGGTTCAGCCGGCATTGCATCCTCCTCTGGTTCCGCATACAACGCTATCGACTCCAACCTCATCCTTGCAGGAAGCACCTACTATGCGACGTTTGGTTCTTTCTGGGGCGACATCTACCAGGTCCCAATGGCCAGCACGCCCACCAAGACCGCTGGCACGTCCATCCAGGTGGCATACAACTCCTCTGGATCACACGCTGTCGAGGGCTCATTCACATACTACCGATCACCGTACTACTACCTTTTCTTCTCGTCGGGAACCTGCTGTGGTATGTATTCTCCCGCGCTCAAGGATGAATGGTACTGAAGTTGCTGACATTCATAAAGGTTTCGATACATCCCGCCCCGCCCAGGGCGATGAGTACCGCATTAACGTCTGCCGCTCTTCATCTGTGACCGGACCCTATGTCGATGCCACCGGCAAGTCCTGCACCGCTGGTGGCGGAACCACCGTTTTGGCGTCCCACGACAATGTCTACGGACCTGGTGGACAGGGAATCTACGCCGATACCACCCAGGGAGGAGCTGTGCTTTACTACCACTATGGTACGTCCATGCCGAATTAACCAGATATACATATGAGGATCTGTTAACTAACGGGTGATTTTGATTTAGTTGATACCAACATTGGATATGGTGACGGACAGAAGCTGTTTGGATGGAACTTGCTTAGCTGGAGCACCGGATGGCCCGTTCCTACTTAGATAATTTTTAGTTTAGTTTTGGGAGTAATATAGAGAGGTCACTGGGGGGGCTTTGTTTCTAGAATTGTTCGTGCATGATGATGATATGTGAGCTGTTGGTGATATCGGAGCATAACTGTGATATCGATGATTTGTTAATAGTGGACCAGCTAAGCTGCATGCATGTGCTAATCGCCTCGCCTTACCTACTGACAGCGAAGATATCTAAAAGAGTGGTATACCTAATTAATTAAATAGGACTGTCCAGTTATTCAACGAATCTCACACAGACGGTGAAACCCTACGCAATATTTCTTGATTGACGTTATGGCGCCGGCGGAGCCTAACATCCACACCTGAATTCGAACTCCATGAATCAGAATCTCGGCGCCGAGATCGAGAGCAAATACTACTAGTCCTCAGCAGCAACACATATTCTTAGAGGGAAAAAAAACTAGATTCCATCGGGGACAGACAAAAACTTCATTAGAAAATCGTTTTTTTTTTCAATTATTAAGTCGTGGTGAAATGGGTTAGGGATTCGCAGTTTGTACCAGATCTAGATCGAAGTGTGGGTTTCAGACTCTGGGCGCCAGGAAACCAAATTATTGTCTTGGCCACGAACCTACTAAACTGCAGGTAAAGCACTAGTACTTACTAATCAAAACTACACCACCCACTACCTGATCAGAGTGTTCCTACTTGATTCCAGAAAAGTTAGCTGCACCGATGAAATTTTGCCGTTCAACCCGAGAGCACCTAAGCACTCCGCCCGGACTCTACACTCAATATAAAGCCATCTGTACATGCACCATAACCACTTAGCTTGGCACCATTGACAAGGGTCCGCTCATTCACTGCACCCACCCCTAACCCTGTAACTATATCCATCTTATATAAACCGCCAGCGAATTAATTTCAGCCCACATTAGAGAGACCTTTGACTGCGCTCTGACTTCCAGGAAGAATCGGACCACAGCTGCTCGCTGTATTGAGGCGGGTCGATCGGATGTTAAGATATATTGGTTCAGATACGTGAAGACAGGGAGAGGGAACTAGAGCGGAGGACTATATACCCAGCTGCGCCGTTTACGTATATGCAGGTACAAAATGGCCATGCTAAATAAGTGGTTGTTGATGAGGAACTGGCAGATAATAGCCGGTGGGTGGGCGTCGTAAGGTTGATGGAGATGGGCTCAGGCAAGGACGTACAGTTTTCAGATCTCAAATCTCAAGAACCTTTGGCATTGGGAAAAACAAGGCTACGTAATTCGAATATAGCACTGACACAATAGCTGATTTACTAGCTACACATACGTATAACCAGCCCCATTTTCATTCTTCCTAGGGACCTCCGAAATCTTCATAACGACGGGCTCCATCAACAGCCACATCATCCGTATTCACTTAATACAACGCGAAAGTAAACCTCCGAACGGGAATCTCTTGTCCATGCACATTCCTTATGTGCGGCAGTATATTATCTCTGCGGGAAAAGCCGCCACTACCAACCCTTCTGCACCCTGTAACCGAACAATCCAACAATCTAGAACGCCTATGCATATGTCTGACCATGGAATGGCGGTTGAAGTCGTTTTTGGTGGCGAATACGCGATTGCAGCCATTACTGAGGTAGGTGATGTGGAGCCTTCGTTGGAGACGCTGGCATTTGTGAGGGCCTCTGTGGAGATATATGTAGGTTAACATGCTTGTACCAATCGTTAGGTAGTGGGGATGAAGATAGGGCAATATGGGGTCCATAAGGGTGAATAATTAACCCTAGCTGTCCATTGCACTTTCCGTCACAGGAGATCTCTATTTGCCCGCTATGAGCCGGCCTGGGGTCCTCATAGATACTTAAGACGGTTAGGTAAGTAGCACTCGGCGGTAAGATCGGCTGTTCGGGCGAACAAAGTAAACCGTTGGGTGGCTCGGAGCTGCCTGTATGGCCGTGGGGAGCTGATTGTCGTGGGCTCTCTTGGAAATGTTCGGGCGTAAGTAGGAAATATGGGTCAAAGTACGATTGATCTACTAGATCAGATGGTCTGGAGATTTGGTCTCCAATTGTATCGGGTAGTCGCAAATGCTCGAATAAATCATGCAGTTCATTATCAGATCCAGCGCTTGACGATTGCGATCGGCTATAAGTACTACATAATAACCATAACACACATCGACGTTCAATTAGCAGTGTCTAATATATGAACCTAAATATTTTTCGTTTGATATAAACTCTAATCAATCCCCCGTCATAATTTCTAGCAAAAATGAAAATCATACTTATCCTGTTCCATATTTCTTAGCTAGCGACGATTTGCGTGAAGTACAGTAACAAGTGCTGCAACGGGAAATGTTTGGTTGGACGTGGGATAATTGTAAAAGGAGCGCAGGTATGTAGTTAAAACAAGATGCAAGGCGGGTACATACCAGTTTAATCTTCAGGCACCCTCATCTTTGCTTTTTCAATGTCGAGCCTGGCCCTCAAGTGCCTGAACCTCTCACTGGCCCAGACGAATTTATGATCACAGCCTATCACTCGATAGTACTCATGCCAAGCAATGACTGCATGAAATTCGAGAGCCTTGTTGTTGAGCTCAGGATTCCATGAGAAGAAAAAAATTTGATTTGAGGGTCGAGCCACAAGGGTGTAATTTGAATACTAGATGTCCTATGTTCGAATCGCCTGCAACCGCCTTCAAAGTCTCCGGCCCGGTACTGACTGCAACACTGAATTCAGGATCATATATAACGTATCCATTTAAATTTAACCGTCAGCCTCGATTGCCATAATGACTACTAGCCTTATATATATTTCAGTAGTCATCTTATTGTAAACGGCGCGACCCATGAGGACGATTCGAAGTATGCCCGGCCTCGAGCTCTACAGCTTTAGATGTCGGCAGACAATGATGAGCAGTTGCATGTGAACACCATACGAGTATTTGGCACATCTTTACTTCTGTATGGCTAGTGGTGATTATGGCCGCTGAGCCTGGCGGTTTAAGGGATACGTTTACAACCAATTCTCATTACAATTACCGCCAAATCTCGAGGATCTTCACCTTTAGAGGAAGCGATCTTTAAGAAAATAAACTAAATGTAGTTTAGCAGGTGGCCTTGGCAATCCCCCGAATAACTCGAGATTTTGCGGTATATCAAGACTTGAGCTCGAAAGGCTTGCATATCGATCTTATGGTGAATCCCCATAGGCACCAGGTAATGCAAATTTACGCCGGGACCAGTTGTAGCTTTTATAATAAGCGTACTCACCAGGAGCATGTTTTTATCAGGAGTAGCCTGTACAGCCACATTCGAAAAGTTTTGGCACCTCCGGCCAGGCCAAACTCACGAGGCAATCCTTTCTGCTTTGCAATTCTCATATTCGAGACCGTTGTCAGAGAGAGCTGCAATGTCTCTATTGCGGTCATACCTGTCAATAAGTTGAGTATGCGCGAGTGCCATGGTTGTTGGTGGGCTAAAATTCATGAACGACTCAATATAGTAGGGTGCCAGTACTTTTCGAATGCGGCTGTACAGTATCCAATCTAAAATAAAGTGTTAACTAATGTAAATTCAGGATAGTGAAATATAAGCATATAGTCGAAGATAACAAACCTGTACCCAAACCGCAACCAAAAGAAGAGATAAACGAAAATGAAAATGAAATAAAAATAAATGCCGAAGGGCGAAACTGAAGCGTATAAACCAACCATGATTATGTACCTACATGTACAGTATCCGGTAGAATTATTGCGAAAGTCAGAACTAAAAGGGTGGGTTTCTTGGCCCGTGCTCACTGCAAAAATTCCTTTGAGGGCCAATGGGACTATCGGGTCACGGAAAACCCACTTTCGCATTAATTCTACCAGAATCTGTATATAAGGTCCCAAGATGTACAAAAGAAATTCTGGGGTATTGTGCGGTTTGGATGCTGAACATGACAGTAGATACCCAAATGAAACAAAGAGAAAGAAAAAAAGAAAGAAAAAACCAGAGCACCATGTCTCATCACTATAAAGTGAGCTCCGTACCAAATCTCCACTTCTTAACTGGGAAATCCACCTTGTGCACCCTTCTTAAATGCTGCAACATGTTGTCCTTGCGAGAGAATCCCTTTTTACCAGTTTTAGAACATCCAGCAAATTGACAATCATACAATATCAAACTTTTGGTTTTTGTAGAATGCCTCGTTTTGCAATGACGATTGAAGTCGCTTTTCGTCTTGAATGTGCGCATACAGTTGTTGCTAAGACAAGTAATGTAACGCTTTCTTTGGAGATATTTACACTCATGATCGCCCCTGCACGGGTTACAACATTAGTGCCAGGGAGAGGCAAAGCGCGTGAAATAAGCAATGTTACACTAGATCTCCCTTACACCTTCCGTTACACACCATATCTGTTAAGATACCTTGTTCTTCGATCTCGGGGTCCCCGTCGGCCCTAAATAGATTTCATTAGTATCAAGCAGAGGATTGAGTACAAAGAGAGGAAGTTACACTATGCCTCTAGATCTATCAAAATCGCCCTTAGATGGATCAATCTCTTGCAAAGGGCTGCCTGGGGCTTTGGTCGTATGGGTCTCTTCGGCCATTGGTACAGAGCCCTGGAGGCTTGGTCCGGAGGAATTGAACTCTGCCAACTGATTTGGTTGTCCTGATAGATCTGTGAACTGGTAAAGAACAGATGGTCTATCAGAGTGACTCTCAGACGGATAAATTCCTTGCGAAACACTACCTAGAGCTTTGATTGTAGGGGTCTCTTCAGCAATCGGTACAAAGACGTGGAGGCTTGGTCCGGGGTAATTGAACTCTGCAAACTGATGCGATCGTTCTGATAGATCAGGAGATTCAGAAAGATTGGATGGTTCGGGAACCATATCGAATGATGGAAACTGCTCAATTGTAAAGGATGGATCAAATGGCCTTTCTAATTCGCCTTCTGCAAACCAACCAGGGGTGATAACAACGTTGTGTGTGAAGCCATGGGGACGTATTTCTACATCATCCGGAACTATTGTGCCTAGATAGTCCTGAGCTGTTGTGAGACTGGAGGGTAAGGACGGGTTCGCTTTTTTTGAACATCCATATAGCCCGGTTAGTTGAGGAAGTCTAACTTCTTTCAATTGTCCGAAGCTATCAACCAAAGTTTGGTCATGTTGTTCAAATGTATATGCACCAAAATAATTCCCGGGGGTAGTATCGCGATCGGGTGTTCCTCGTAGACTTAATTCGAGCGGAATCTTATCATGCTGGGCGGTTAGGGTGTAGGAGCTACATGTAGTATTGCAACTAAGAAAATAGCTATCATCAGTTAGATCATTCTGCTCTTGTCTCTGAAAATATTGGTGCATCGTGTAGTAATATCGCAGCGAGCCACTTACTCTAAACTTTAAATTTTCGCGGAACAGTACAAATATTTATAGAATTATGCCTAAGAGGAGCATAACTTCGTTGCTTCGGACTTTGAGAGGGGATGGGGGGTCGTTCAATATTTAACAACTGAATGTGAGTGCTTGAATTCCACAGCTTGAACTGAATGTGAGAGCTTGAACTGAATGTGAGTGCTTGAATTCCACAGCTTGAACTCAACGGCATCTAAAACACTTGGTTGTGCAGCGCAGCTTTGTGTTACCAAACATACAACACATCACATTCAAGCTCAGGCTTGGTAACACCAGATTCAGGCCCAGTGACTTCAAATCAGGCTGTTACCCATTCACCTGCATAGCTAAATTCAGAGTGCATCGAAGTGTAGAATTATTGCCCAAGGCTCCCACCACATGCGTACGCTGAGCCTCCTCCAAGGAAAATGTTTTATGTGCTGGCTTTGGACTGCTTGCATCTCAGGATCGGCACAAGGATAACAACGACTCCTGGACCCTACGCCTGTCGATGTTTTGATGGTTATTGGTTGTTTCTGCAACGCGCAACGGTAAAGTAAAATCCATCAGTTAGGCGCTGGTGCTTTTACGCGAAGACCATGATTTTGTAGATTTTGATGCATGAATGAACAAAGATTCTAGAGCTTTCGGCGCTGCGTGACTGGATTAATACCGAATGGGCTTATTCTTGACTAAAACATATATGTATCTTCAAGACAGTAGTTAACCTTTTTTTTTTCTTTTTCTAAAATGCACAGGGGGATTCTATTTCACTCATCCGATCGAGAGACGAAAGGATACAAGAATTGGCTCATTAAGTGTATTGCTATCTTGAACTAGTAGGTTGCCGACCTCAATTGACGGATTGAAGCTCCTTATGACGTAGTGGGGATCCATCAGCGTGTCTAATCACTTTGTCCATCAATATTTTTTTAAAAAAAAGGGGGGTAAAGCGAGTGTAGAATTGATAGCAGCAGCGACCTAATAAACCACACATTAATACAAAAGAATACTTATCCTCCAAAGAGTGTAAGCTAACGGACGGACAAAAGAAAAAAATAGAGCAATGTAGAAAGTAGAAAACATGGTTAAGATTAACATGGAGAATTCGGACATCATTCGCCCCCGCCATCGGGAGGGCGAATTAAACTTCTTCAAAGCCCCAGTTTGACCCATGAACTTTGAAACACTTCTTAATGATCTCCTCTCCATGCACAATTCTCAAGTGCTGCAAGAGGTTATCCGGCGTGAGAATCCTTTACCGCCTCTCTTGCACCCGGCAACAGTGCAGTAAACCAACGACTGTTTAAGCCCGTGGACTGTCTTACAGTGACGGCTGAAGTCGTTTTTGGTGGTACATTCCTTCATGCAGTCGCTGCTGAGGCAGATGATTCGGAGTCCTCTTTTAGGGCGTTGGCATTGATGGGGGCCTCTGTGCGTGTGATAGTTTAGTTAGTTAAGGCACAGTAGGGGAATATTGAAGGTAGTTCGAAGAGATGAGGGGGTTACACTAGGTCTCCGTTGCATTTCTTATTGCAAGGAATCTCTGGAGACAGATCTCCGATATGGCCCGCATTGACTGGAAGAGGACCGTTGGCATCTGCTGCTGATCCGGGGGGGCTAGACGGTAGGTATACATGAGGGTTCACCTGTTCCGATTCATGAGTGAATGGACCGGGTAGCTCAGAGAGATATTGGTTAAGTGGCTGCTGATATGAACCCGAAGGATTGGTTACTAGGAGTGATCCTGGTGTTCAGACTCTTCTTGGGATATGTCGAAGAACCCGGGCAGATGGTCCGCATCAGCTACAAGAGGATTGTTGACATTTGCTGCCGATTCAGAGGGGCTAGACGGTAGGTGTGGGTTCACTTGTCCGTATTCAGGAACGATTGAACCAAACCGCCCGTAGGGGTATTGGTCAAGTGGATGCTGGTAAGAACCCAAAGGATTGGCTGCTAGAAGTGACACCTGGTGTTCAAACTCTTCTTGGGATAGGCCGAGAAACCCGGGTAGATGGTCCGCATCGACTGCAAGAGGATCGTTGCCATCCGCTGCTAATCTAGCGGGGCTAGGTACATGTAGTAGGTGTGGGTACACCTGCTTTAATTCATTGGCGATTGGATCAAACAGGTATTGTTCAAGTGGCTCATGTTTGTAGAAATCCGAAGGATTGGCTCTTAGAAGCGACACCTGGTTTCCAAATTCTCGTATTGGTGATCGACTTCTTTACCCACCGGAGCGAAGTTCGTGAATATAAATTAGCAAACATCAAAAAAAAAAAAAAAAAACTACCGGTTGATTTGCTCCATTTCTGATTGTCGATAAGGAGGAAGATTCTTGAAATTAAGGCTCGATAGATCTTTTGAGAGAGGGGACGGGGAGACCCTCAACTATATACTTTTTACAATCAAGCTGGTCACCCAGCTAACCCACACTACTATCTATGTCCTCTAGGTAATAACATCGTGTACTAGGCCTAGGTACGCAGACACTTATATTCTACCTAGAGAGCCGCACCATGCACTACATGTTAAATGTACATATTTGTGGTCTTTACACATACATATACATAGTATCATAACTGATAACACGAGATAAATATTCTTAATCTTTCATAAATCGTGATATATGTTTCGACGAAAGTGAACGTAAATGATGGTTTCACAGCAAATATACAGATCAAAATCTCCAAACACCTTGCGCTTTACTCCCCCGACAGTACCGATACATTTCCAGGAAACCTAGGTATATCGCGAAAGCTATGAACTAAATTGTTTGTCTACCATGGCCTCTACCAGCTACCACCATACCTACCTCCTCCCTCGTTTGATAACCTCATAAAAAGCCTTGGCAGGGGTGATTAGGTAACGAGTGATATTTTGTGACCAATCCTGCAACGCCTCATGATCAGTGTACTACACTCTATTCATCCTAGCTGTAGCAGCGAATCAACCCGCTCCTAAAAATCTGTGACTTCAGGCCCGGTGACCTTAGTTCAGGCTCGGTGACCTCAGTTCAGGCTCGGTGACCTCAGATCAGGCTCGGTGACCTTGGTTCACGCCCATGACCTCAGCCTCGATGCCAAAACATATATATGCAACATGTAAGTGTGCAATGTTGATTCGATCGGATCTCGCCAGTATATCTCAGCCTCGGGCACCGAAATTCGAATAGCCTACCGGTCGTGCAGATACGCTCCCGCAGGCGACAGGTGTTGTTTGCTGTTAGCCCTCGCGAGGTCAAATCGTGAATAATCTCTGAGCGTCATCTTTCATGCGAAGCCTCCGTCCGCCGCCGATGAGCTCACTTGGCCTTCCGAGAGAACTATTTTGTGTGCTGGCTCAAGGATAGTTAGCATATGCGTTTAGTCTATCACACTTCGAGTATGGTATGTGCCTAGACGATCCATCACATTAACTTAATCAGATAGTTGTCCAATACTCGTATTTGTTAGGAGGTTTATCCTGGACGTTAATTGGGGACTCGATTCGATTGGATTGGTGAAGAAGTTTCGGAAGGAAAGAAGAGATCGTTTAAACGACGGGCACGAGTTAATTGTTGATACTTCAGTGGTTACTATACTACATGTAGGTTGATCGATTGATTAATTTCGAAGTGATGATTAAGATATATTTGTTTTAAAATGTTTGTTATTTATTTGTTGATTGATTGAAAGAGATTTAGTTTATACCGGATACGAAGAAAGATTTCTGATTATTTATTATTTTATATTCTATTTTGTTATTATTTTTCATGGAGGGGTCTCGGGGTAGTTAACGTTAGTTGACAGAGCAACAAAGAGGGAGCGAAGCGACCGTCACTCTAAGAGTGTGCGTCGGTTTGCTGTTTTATGCCATGGCTTCACCACGAATGGGATAAAGGCAGGTTCCAAATACCATATTATATAATCCGGTACTAACTAGGTGATTCAGAAGATAAATACCGACTCGGAATCAGATGTGGGGATTGTCAAGGATAGTTCCATGAGACTCGGCACACCTGAACAGGTAAGACTTTGTGATTGAATATTAACTTCGGAATATGTTAACTGTTTACAAGGCAGGTACCAAGCTCGAACAAAGACTTGATAAGCTTGATTCCAAAGTGGATGGCTGGGTTAAATGGGCGGTTCGATTCGGGATAGGAGGAATCCTTGTTGGTTTTGGATTAGTACGTTCTTTTGTGAATCCTACATGGTTTTTATTCCACTAATGCGCCTGCAGGTGTTTGAATCGAGAAACCACATGGATAAGAAATTCGACATATTCCAGGCGACGATCGCGAAATCTATCAAAGATTCTGAAGAGAGACTCGAAACAAAGATCAAAGATCAAAGATTCTAAAGAGAGACTCGAAACAAAGATGGCATTGGCTTTTGAGAGACTTTAAATAGGGATAGATCGTTTTGCACGGGGGTTTAATCGGAGTTTGCAAAGATAAATGAACCTGGTATATCGAAGAATCGAGAATGGTTTTAATTCATCACATGCAACCACTCGGTGGCAGATATGGTGATATCGGTGTTCTCACGTACAACACGACAGTAGGCACGTTTCTCCATACCACCTACAGGGAGGCTAAACACCTGATGGAGACTTTTGAATAAAACATAAGAACAAAAGTGAATATAAGATCGGAGTCGGATAGCAAGATCGGAGCCGCTAACCAAGATGGATTGTGTTTGAGCGTTCTACGCTGGTGTTTCTTGCTTGACGTCGTAGGTGCCTGATACATCTAGCTAGGCCCACTGCGCAGGGGTTAGGGTTGTTCAAGGTTAAAGCCACTACACACGGTACCTCCGTACATTCTGTGGACTGCGTACACATACATATGGGCGTGTAACTCAAGCCAAATACTTGTTTCGCTAAAGCAGACAACTGGCCGGAGAGTGTGCTGCGCGACGTCTCTTTGCCCTGCTTTGTAACTACTTCTACGTACCAATATAACCCAAACACTTTCTGCAAGCAAACCTTTTGGCGGCCCTACCTATCATGCCCAAAGAAGGGATTACTATGTGTTTTATCCTAGCTTTCACAAGGAATACTTGCGGTATGTCGCCCATTTTGGCAGCCACCGACCATGTCAGACTGAAGCAAACGCCAGTAAGCTCCTGACTCTTCTCCAAGCCCATGAAAGCGGGTGTCGTCCTTTTAGATAACCAGTAACTACTGGATATCGAAAGGTCTTTAATGTGCGTAGATATTCAGTACCGTCCGTTGCCTAATCCGTCTGTTTACCTAAATAGATCATCTCAGGAGCAAATCGCGACAACCACCGAACCGCCGATCCGCCCTCTCAGCAGCTACGCCACTGTACATTCCAAATCAAGACTCATTTACGCCTGGGGCTGGTGACTTTAAGCTCTGCAGCCCAAGGATCCTGCGTGTGTCAAGTTTAACTCTAAAACTCGACCTGCATAGCCGAAATGCTTGGCCCTCCCTAAGCGCCGGGGGCTCAAACTTGGGGAAACTCTGTATTGGCTCACGAACCGAGCAGAGCACTATTGATAGAGGATGTTCTCTCTCTCTATTGGCTGTGGCCCTACAGGAACAACGGGTTAACCGCTGTTTCAAGGCGCCCTGGGCAGGGAGAAACCTTATTCTGGGCGTTTTGGATGTGTGTATATATAGGGGGAAGATTTCCACTGTTGTGTTGCCCTTTTTTTTTGGTTCATAGTCAATCTTCTCCTTGTTGCTCATACAGTTCTTTTCTGTTGTTTGCGGTTTTTGGTTGTTGTTTTCCTTTTCTCTTTCTATATTCATTCGTAGGTCTTGAAGATCTATTGCTTCCTTTTTTTTTTTATATTCTTCTTTGAGGCAGAGCTTCAATCTCTTTGGCACATCAACCCTACATTAGCAATGTTTACTTCACTACTTCCCTTTCTTCTCCTCTCTGCCCAAGCGCTGGCCCAGATTCCCGAGGCCTTCACTAAAGGGTTTGACCCAGAGACCATCGAGCTCGTCGTAAGATACCCAGACTCCGGCAAGATCCAAGACGGCGAAACCCTCTCTGTAAATGGTGAGTAGAATCTATATACCTCCCATCTTTAAAGGAGTAAAAAAAGACTGACAAATCTTTTACAGAAACCTCAATCCTCCCCGAGTTCGCTCTTGGCGACTCCTCGGCCATCAGCACATCCACAAACTACATAGTCGTCATGCTGGATCCTGACACCACGCCCGACCCATCCACGCAGGTGTTGCACTACCTCCGGACCGACTTTGCCGTTGAGGAGTTCACGAAGCTGTCGTCCGCGAGCAGTGCGGTGCCTGTGCCATATCTGGGGCCGGTCGGGGAGGATGTCAAGACGCACAGGTATGTGTTTTTGCTGTATGTGCAGCCGGACGGATATGAAGGGAAACTGGTCCCGAGCGCCGACGGAGATCGGAGCTTTAATGTTTCGGCGTGGAGAATCGAGAACCAGATGAAGCCAGCTGTAGCCGGAGTACATTTCGTCTGTCAGCCAGACGGTGGGGAGGGCGATGTTGGTGGGGGCGACGGCGCTGAGAGCACTACTACATGCTCCGAGGGAGCGTCAATGACCAGCAGCGCGGCTTTGACCTCGATGCCCGCCCCAACAACCACCTCGACCCCAGATGAAGGGGGCGAGGAAGGTATCTTGACTGACACCGTCGCCCCTCCCGAGGCTACGTCTTCTGCGGCCGCCACTGCCACAGGTACATCCCCCTCGACCCCTGCAACCACCCACACCGTCCTCGTTGGTGGCCCCGGAGATCTCCTCCTCACCTACCAGCCCCCATTCGTCAACGCCCTCCCGGGCGACCTCATCACCTTCGACTTCCGCGAGAAGAACCACACCGTGACACAATCCACCTTCGACACCCCCTGCGTCTCCAACCCCTCCGGCGTCAAGTCCGGCTTCCGCCCCAACGCCGAGGGCACCGCGGGCAAGGAGATCTTTGAGTACCAGGTCGTCGACACGGCGCCGAAATGGTTCTACTGCGCGCAGGGAACGCACTGCAAGGCGGGCATGGTGTTTGCGGTCAACCCGGGCGCAAAGTGGGAGGCCTTTGTGGAGAAGGCAAAGGCGGGCGGGACAGCGCCTGCTCCTTCTGCTTCTGCGTCTGCCTCTGCGTCTGCCTCTGCGTCTGCGTCTGCGTCTGCTTCTGCGTCTACTTCTGCGTCTAGATCTGCTACTACTTCGGCGGGTGTGATCGCTACCTCTACCTCTACCTCTACGGCTACAGCTACGGCCTCGGCTACACAGAGTGGTGGTGCGGCGGTGCCGAGCGCGAATGCGACGGCGCCCGGTGACGGAGCTCCGCCGGCGTTTGAAGGTGCGGCTTCGGCGGGGGCGGTGGTGAGTTGGGTTCTGTTGGGGCTGGCGGGGGTGGCAGCGCTCGTTATGTAGAATCCCTAGCCATGTAGGCAGTGGTCTTGCAATTAGGACGATGTTATTAAAGGTGTAATGGCCGGGAGATGATTAGATGCGTACATGTACCTACTAGCTACATTGCTTTGTTTTTTTTTTATATCTTATTTTATTTCTTTTGTTTTTTGTGTTTTATTATTATATGTTGGGTTCTGTGTAGTTGTACTACTAGTAGTCGGTGGTTAGTTAGAGCTGGTTCCTAATAATACACAAGCTGGAGGGCTTTGGTCCATGATCCATGAAACACTGCGTTGCGTCTTGGAATTCGGTGAAGGTGAAGCTGAAACAATACACGTAGTATGCAAACCAAACAAAACCAAACAAAACCAAACTAAAACAAGCCAAGCCAAGCCAAGCCAAACCCCAAGAACGACACAGCCTCCGAGTGATATCCCATGATGCGCAATATCCCGACCCGTGAAAAGAGAGAACACACGACCGCCAAGCACCCACCCACTTATCCACTCTACTATCTACTGGTATCTCACCCCACCTACCAGCACGAGGCCAAAAAGAAAACCAAATCGCACCTACTACCGGCACCCAACCCAACCGACCCACCAATAGGGAAGTATCCACCCCTCAAAAGGCACAGCAACAACCCCAACCCAACCCAACCCAACCCAAATGCGGCAGCAGCAAGTTAGGCGGCACCCCGACTCCCAACTTGCCAGTGACGGTACCAATCGTGAGATTACAATGTAGGTACATACTTCTCCAGTTAATTGCAACCGCTTTAGAAACCTGCGCTAGTGCCATTTCGGGGCATTGTTGGGCCGAGCAAGGGGAGTTGGGGGGGGGGGGGTTAATGAATTAAGCAAAAAAGGTTTTGGGGGGGGGGGGGGGGCGGTTGTCGAGTCTTATCACGATTCACGGGATGTCACTCGCACTCCCATGCACGCCCACAACCAAGGACTGGTTGATGCCCACACAGCTAATGTTATGTTATGCTAGATTCGTAAAGATGTCTATTCGCACTGCCTACTCCTGCGTAACTTCATGGCTAGATAAGAGAACACAAATAGATCAGACAGATCAAAACATATCAAACAGAACAGAAGAACAGCACAGAAGAGATCGGAAGAGATCCGCACAGATCAGGTCAGAACAGCACAGATCGAACCGGATCAAACAGAAAACCAGAACAGATCAAACCAGCTACAGTAGCTACCAATGCAAAAAGCGAAGCAAGTGCAAATAAAAAATATAAAAAAAACCTACAAAAAAAAAAAAAAGAACACCGCAAAGAAAAACACCCACCACACTACACCCTCCGATACACCGCCACAGCCCCATAAAATCTCTCACCCTGCTCTTCCCTCCCAACACCCGCATACGGAATGCCCACCACCAGCGCCTCCTCAGTCACCGCCAGGCTGCCCGCAAACCTCGCATTCGCCTCGGAGCCCTGCATAACCAACCCCACCGCCACCCTCGACACCTCCTCCACCCTCCCTCTCCCCTCGCTGCCCAACACGTTCTGCAAACGCTGCACAAACCCGACTGGAGCAGGGGCAAGGAGCGCGTCAACATCAACCCACCACACGCCCCCCCGCTCCCCATCCCACAACTCACTCCCCACCCACACACCCCCACTGCCCTTATCCGCAACAATCGTCCGCCCAAACTTCGCGTACCGCGTCAACTCCCCCTCTCCCTCGGCCACCAGCTCCGCGACCAGCCTTGGCTGGTCCCCTTTTGCCAGGGCGTACAAGCGCACCACCCCCGCCTGCACAATGCCATCGACGTCCTCATCCGGACTACCAACCGCAATCCATTCCACCCCCGTCGCTGAGATGCCGGCGGCCAGCGAGGCGGTGCGGGAGAGTGAGGGCGAGGGGATGGTGAACACCAGGCTGGGGGTGTCGTCGACGATGCGGTAGGCGAATGTTTTGCCGGTGCCGGCGGCGATGAGGAGCGTGTGGGATTTGGGAAGGAAGGAGAGGGCTGTGCCGAATGACTCGTAGGTAGCGGTTGTGGAGCAGGGGAGGGATGTTTTTTCGGATGGTGGGAGGGGGATCTGGTGGGTTTTGAGAGAGAGGTCTGCGGTTGTGTGGAGATCGGTGGTGATTGTGATATTGGATTCGGGGGCGGCAGAGGAGGGGACGAGTTGGAACAGCCCGACTTCGCCTTCTCCCATCTGGACCTTCTCGCGGCCCTCACACACCCGTCTCCCGTCGCTGCGACTCCCGCTCACGACTAACCACTCATTCCCGCTGCCGTCCAGGTCCGCAGCTATCATCTTCTCGCCCCACCATCTGCGCCCAATCCCGCCGAGCTCTGCGCCCTTGATCGACAGCGAAACCCACCGCTCCGCCTCACCCGGCCGAAACACATCAATGCGCCCGGCCACTCCATTCTCCGTAAACGGCAGGCTGGGCGTAGTAGCCTCATACGAAAGTGGCCCCGGCGCCGACACCGCAAGCAGCGTCATCCCCTGTGTCTTCCACGCCGTGGACGCCGTTCCGAAGCGCTGGTCTACGGCCGTGTGCCCGCCGGCGGCCTTCTCCACGCGCTGCGGCGTGACGTATTCCGGCTGCTGAGCAGAGAAAGGCGTTGGCGTGGAGGAGGAGGAGAGGAAGTCGGAGAGCGGGAGGACATAGACATTCCCCTCGCCGGGGCGCGACGAGTCTTCGGATTCGGTGGGCGCGCCGACGGCGAGTGAGGGTTTGGAGGAGTCGGGCGTGAAGGCGCCCACAGAGAGGGAGCTGCCGAAGCGCGCGTAGGGCGTGTAGGTCGCTATATATGTCGGTGCTGAGAACTTCGGGGCTTTGGCGTTTGGGTGTGGGGGGTGCGCGGGGGCGGGGCCTGGCGGGGCAGCCAGAGGCGGGAGGGTGTATGTCTCGACGCCAAACTGGTCGGTGTGCACTGTGATGTGCTTGAGCTCCTTGTTGCTAGATTCCGTGATGAGCGGGAGCTGCTCCTGGGCGTGCGAGTGACCAGTATCGCCCGCTCCGCCCCGTGCTTTGATGGCGCGGAAGAGGTCGCAGATGCCCCAGCCGTTGCGGATCTTTTCGTCGGCGTCGATGCCGTTGGCGAACCAGCGGGTGAGGTTTGACCAGCAGGAGACAGTGCGCGAGGTCATTTCGTCAAGGCCGCCGAGGTAGTAGCCGTCGAGCGAGTTGACGAGCATTGGGGACTGTGAAGCCATTGAGTCCAGCCTGTACAGACATATATTAGAATCAACACCACCGCACTACTCTCCACCTTCACGAATCCGCTACAGGAAGGGCAGAAGAAAAAACTCACAAGCTCGGTCCAACAGCAAGATCGCTCCTCAACGCCGCCAATCCCCTCATTGTGCAGTATCTCAGCACAAACTTGTTGACCTCCCTCCCCATCCTCTTATAGATCTCCATGATATCGTCAATAGGCACCTTCCACTCGCCCCCAATCCACGCCCTCGACACCTCGCCCATCCTCGCCAACCTCGCCGCCACCATAAAATCTCCCCCAAAATCCAGCACGCGGTGCGCCTTCTCCTCATCACCACCAAAATCCACCGCCGCCAGCGCCGCCAGAAATCCACTCGGCAGGCGGATCGCGTGCCAGCTCGCATCCTGCGTCTGGTGCCCCGCGATAGCAAAAATAAACGAAATCAGCCCCTCCAGGTGCTCCTGCTCGGCTGCGCTGCGCAGCGTAGTGTCGTTGAGGTAGCCGTATTTTGAGATGATGTGCTCGACGCTGGCGACGAGGAAGGGAGGCCAGTGGGCGGCTTCGGCGGCAGAATCGGTGGAGAGGCATTGGTATCCCCAGTCGGGGAAGAAGGCGCCGGATTGGAGGAAGGGCGCATTGGTAGGCGAGAGGAGGAGCGGCGAGATGAGGGGCGTGATTTGTGTCAGGTCCGGAACGCTGTTGGGGAGAGAGAAGAGGTGCGTCGAGCGGTGGAGAACTTCGTTGTGTACGCTGTGGAAGAGGTTAGTAGTGGTCGCGTGCCTCACCAAAGGGGAGGGACAGAGCTTACAGGACCCCGCAGGAAAGGGCGGTGCCCCAGTAGAGTGTCGAAGCGATAAGGTGCCGCATCGTAATTGATTGCTTGCACTGTTCAGAATCAAAAGAGGGGAAGGAAGGAGAAGAGAAAGAGTCAGGGCAAAGGGGTGGGGGGGAGGCGAAGGGATTAATACCCGCACCACTCTATTCTACTCGGGATATATATCCTAGATAACCACCCTCGCTCGATTCACGGACCTTGTTGGGCATAAGCTGACTGACTGACTGACTGACTGACTGACTGACGGACGGACAGACTCGGGGATCTGCATGTTTTGTTTGTGTACATATGAATCTGCAGCTCATGCACTCCATGCAGCCACCCCAGGACCACAAGGATAAAGAAGGTGCAAGGACAGAGCAGAGAGCTCTCCGTTCCAGATGAGATTCGTGCCAAGGCGCCTCCCGGCGAGAATGCGGGGAATGCCGACCGGGGAGAGCCCTGCAGCCGAGAAGGCGTAAGCAAATCGAGATGCGAGTGAGGGGCTGTGATATATTATCCGGGTTTAATATATATCGCTGTCTACTAGAGGAAGGTAGGTATCTCACTCACAATACTCTCTATCTCCTCCAGCTTGACGGTGGTGCTGCCTGCTGCTGCTGCTGCTGCTGATGTTGTCTAGATGTTCTTCACAGCTTCCTTCCTCTCTGCATGCACCCTCGGAACAGGTTCGTGCAGAGCCTCACTCACAGACGATGCTCTCTCGGCCAGCTAACGCAGTGAGGAAAGCTCCCGTGATAAGCATACGTACCATCCAAGACTTTTTCTGTTTTGCACCGTAGAATTCAGCTGGTCGTGCGGTTGCAGTTGCTGTTATGAGTGTGAGGATACGGATCCTAGACAGGCATTCAGAGTAAAATACCCGGTGAGGATCTTGGTATCGTATCGTGTTCTCGAAGGAATGGCCTGTGCCGATCGAAATGTCCTGCCTGCTTCGTAACAAAGCCCAGGCTCGCCAGGGGCTGCAGCTGTTGGCTGGGAAACACTA